AGTGGAAACAGAAAACCGAACTGAACTGAACCATACTGTACTGCTCGGTGGAAACGGGGCTATAGTGTCCATCCTCCATTTTCCCCCCAGGTAGCCGCGGTGAGCAAGTGGCTTCATTTTGAGCTGTAAACCCTTTTAGCATTATTAACTATGTTACCACCACTAGCTGTGCTGACACTGCTAACGGTGCTAACAGAGCCAACAGTAGTTAACAATGCTAAAGTCAGTTTGTGGGTCAAAATTGAGCCACTTAATCACCAGGATGACCTGGACAGAGACCGAAGGGTGGGCAGAATGTTTCCACAACAACGCTTTTGTGCTCGGACGATGTAACAAGGTGTAATTGCCAAATAAGCTAGCTAATGTTAGCTCCCACCAGACAGTGCAGTGTGCTAGAGAGTAGCAGCATTAACCTATTTTTGAATCAACATGCATTACCGGTCAAAAAATATTCTCAGGAGTTAACCGATTAACAGTTAATCGTTGACATCCCTAAAGCTACATTTTGTTTTTTTGAGTTACAGTAGCTACATAGCTTAGATGTGTTTTGGTATCAATGTGACTACATGCTGTGTAGCTGAACAGTTGATATAATTTCTCATCATGTCTGCCGTCATGTAACCATGACCCCTGTTGTGTGTTTCTCCTCTTCCCCTCACAACAGTTAATCATTTTAAGAATTCATCCACCCTCAGTTTTATTATCTTCATTAATGACTGATTTTTCTTCTGTTTGTTTTGTTTTTTAAACCCCTCTTGACCCCACCGTTTTGCTCCTGGGTCTCCACAGATTGACAACATCTGACTCGTCACCTTAACAACCACTTGGCGAGTAGCTAGCCGCCTTGGGAAAGCGGAGTACCGTTGTAATACTCTTAGAGGGTGGTGTTTTTTCATTGGGAGGGAGACAATCCCTAGTGATACGATTCATTCCCATATTTCCCTAATCCTGTAGTGGTAGTGAGCGCTGTGGTGCAGTGATGCTGTTGTGTTGATTGGTGCTGGTAGTGCTGTAGTGACCTGGCTAGTTAGCGTGTGGTGATAAATTGACCCTGATGAAGTAACGACTAATCCCGTGCTTTAACCTGCCAATGTTTCCTCTTAGCCAGCTGTGTCCTGTCCTCGTCAGGGGAGAGTCAACAGATTTATGTTCCTAAAAACACAAAACTGAAGTGCATCTTTGCTTTATAAACAAAAGAGTGTGGAAAAGTCACACTAAATAAACAAATATGTTCTTTGGACTCGAGGGCCACAACAAACACAAAAGGTTTGTACAGACTTATGTTGCCTGTTAATCCTGTTTATAGTAGTGAGAGAAAACAGGAGTCATGAAAACATACAACAAGCCGAGGCCTTAGAAAGATACATAATACCAGTTACCTATGATGTCCGTGTGTTTAACAGATTTAACTGTAAACTAACAACAAAAATTGTAGACTAACATCATCAGTCTGTCTCTATATTATGAAAAAGCAAGTAAAATGATCAGGAACAAATTAATGAGTTAAAATGTCTAATACATGGAGAGACAGTTAGTTAGCACCCTGTGGCAACTCAAATTCAGCCAGTGCATCACCCAGGGGTCTGATCCAGACCTTTAACTTCCTGCAGGATCAGCAAACTTTCTGTTGCTGCCATTACACAGGTTAGACTCAGTGCTGTCGCTAGCTATCAGCCCACTGTGAGCCCTTGTCCTGGGTTTTGTGCTGGCTGTATTCGACAGTGGCTTGCGCTAGCTAGCTAGCTTAGCTCATTTAGTCTTATTTGTGCTCTGAGAGATGGCAGAGCAAGGAGGGGCTTAAAATATCAGTGCGCTGCCATTTTAAGTACTAAAAATAAATAAAATTACAGATTTCTTTAGGTTTTACATTTTCTAAACAATTGGGATAATGTAAGTACACAACTTAAGAAATATATAACATAGGTCTTGTCATTTTTAAGCATTTTGATATGAAAATGGTACATATCTTTAAAATAATAAAAACACATTAAAATAGATGAATACATACAAATTAGATACAAAAAACTACATTATATTCAAGTGAATGTACCTTTCTATTTCTTTTGATAACAAGCCAAACAGAAAATGTGGCACCACAAATATTTGGGTAAACTCTCTGAAAATTATTTGTTTATTTATTTTCATATCCTGTCAAATCTTTTGGGGGGAACCATTGATTCAAAAAATAACCAACTTTCTAGAGGAGCTATTTTGAATATTTTATGTTACATTCTCACTTGGGTGCCAAACCAACCTATCAACCAACATATTCTGAATTCACCCATTTCTACCTATATTCTGATGGTTGCTGAGGCATTCTGGGAAATGTAGGAAAATGCTGCAGTAGAAGTTGACTTCAGTAGAAGCAAAATGTGTTTTTATTCTGAATAGATCTTAAAATTAGTTCTAGGTAGCACTTTAAAATGGATTTAATATTGTCTTAAATTGTGACATGTAACAATACCTCAAATGACATCACTTCCTGGTCAGTTTCCAGTCCTGACCTGGATTAAAAACATGAAACAGCTCTGGACACTGCTGGCTTACAGGGAACATTGCGTCCACTCCTCTGACCCTTCATACACTCTGGTCTGTACCTGGTATCCCGAGCATCTACGACTGTTTTTGTTTATTCCGCTAGTTTCAAAATGAGCGAGGCAGTCGTAGATCTCAGTAAAAACCCGGGTCTGATCTGCGTGACGTCTCACCAGTGTTTCATGCTTCCTGCTGCTCTGTAGCTGTAGCTCTAATCCCCCTCACAGGTCATCTCGACTCCTCTCACTCAGACCTGGGTTCAAATGTTTTATTGACTCATTTTGGTTTCACTTTATTTGCATTTTTAGGGTTCAAATGAAGCTGAACGTCTTTGAACAATTCACGACCTGCATATGACAGTATTAAACAAACCATAGCTGTTTGGACCCAGCTCTGCTCTCCTCTAGCTCTGTAGCAGACGGAAAGCTTCTCCTCACCGCTACCTGCTGTTTTAGCTTCAGATGCTTCTCCTCACTTGACCTCAGACTACATTCACGGCTGAATTCAGGAGCACAAGTTTAAAGAGCTGGCAAATCATTTTAAAATTAACCTCAGTTTGAGATGTGCTCCTGAATCAGCAGAAATGATTATGTTGACTAACTGAATATTTAAGAACGTGTAAATAAGTCTGCTCCAGTCTGGTTCGTTGGGTCGATCAGGTAAGGTAGGTAGAAGGAGAAGAAGAAGGAGGCAGCTCTGTCACATGAGTCAGAAACTGCTCACATCACTATGGAAATGTTACTGCTCCCCATCGTGGCAGACCCTACTGGTCTTACTTACGTTTTAACAAGATTAAATAATTAATAATTTTGTTTCTGTGTCTTGCATACAAGCATGTGATCAACCCTCATGGGTTTACAAGACACTATTACAATATAGTTGTAGTGATCAATCCAAAATCCACCTTATCTTACTGCTCAGTCCCAAACTAAATACTCTGCCTTCTGTCCCAGGTTCGGCAACAAAGTCTGCCACATAATATAAAATTTTCATAGTCATCCAATCAAAAGAAATCAACATACATGGAGGTAATTTTACTAAAAAGTACAACCCTTATGTTTAAGTAGGCATTAACAACACTGATCATCTCGTCACAGTGCAGTGTTCTGTTGGGAAATCTTGGGTCCTGGAATTCATGTGGATGCTACTTGACACACTCCACCTACTTAAACACCAGTGCAGACGAGGCACCCCCAATTACGACAACAGCACTCCCCAATAGCATTGTCCCCCCCGCAGAACAATGCACCATGCCCCGTCACAATAACTGCTCAAGAATGGTCAGAGGAACGAGACAAAGAGCTCAAGGCATCGACCTGCTCTCCAAAGTCCCCAGATCCTGATCTGATCAAACATCTGTGGGACGTGCTGGTACCCCACCTCACAACCCATGGGACTCAAAAGATCTGAAAGTAAAGCCCTGATGCCAGACACAGAAGGATACCCTCCAGAGGTCCTGTGTCCATGCCTTGACAGGTGAGAGCCAAGTCTGGTCCAAGGAGCACCCACCGTGTATCGTGGGTACCTCTTGGGCACCAGCACGTCCCTTAACTGTTCAATCAGATTGGGATCTGGGGTATTTGGAGGCCAGGTCAACACCTTGAGCTCTTTGTCACGTTCCTTGGGTCATGCCTGATAAGTGCTGTTGCCATGAGGGGGTTTACTTGGTCTACAACGGTGTTTGGGTAGGTGGAGCACACCAAGTAGCATCTACATGAATGCCAGGACCCAAGGTGTCCCAACAGAACATCGCACTGTACCAAGATGATCAGTGTTATTCACTTCACCTGTCAGTGGTTTTAATGTTTTGGCTGATCGGTGTATACACAAATGTTGCTGCAAGTGTCTTTTCTGACCACTTGTTTCATATCTCCTCTGCACAAGAAACAAAAAACAGCAGATTGATAAGTTCTTATTAAGTATAGTTCAAAGTGGAACATCCTGAAATGAATGCCCCTCTCCACATCGATCCCCTTAAGTGATTTCTGACTCTAGTGATGCAGACGCCTCCTCTTCTCCTTCTCAGAGGTTCTAACTTTTCTCCACATCCTGTTCACTGCTTCTTGTCTCCTCGTAGGATCCAGTTTTTCCTCCTCTCCAGCTTTTTGGAGCGATAACATAAGACGGCTGGGGCAGCGTTTGAAATGACACCCTGGTCTGTGGTAGTGGGGTGTTGTTTCAGACCTGCTTTCACCCCTTTCTTTCCTCTGGTCACTCCTCCTTCTCCTCCTGACTTTTGCTTCCTCAGGGACTCGTGTTTTTGTTGGCTCTCCAATAAATCAATGTTCGGACTTAACCTAAATAAATCTAATTTAAAATGTGTGCTTCTCGCCATTTGAGCTAAAGCAGCCAACAAAAACATGTTGTTTTCTCGCCTTCTCTCCAAACCACCAGCACCTCCTCACTTCTCTACTTCTTCTTCTCTCCCTGTCCTCCCTCCTCCTCCTCTTTGTCTCCCCCTGCAGGCGGCTTCTTGGTATTATCACAAAAAAAGATATCCTTCGTCACATGGCTCAAATGGCAAACCAAGATCCCGAGTCCATCATGTTCAACTGATCCGCTCCTTCCAGGACGGCTGGGGAGGAGGGGGAGACGACAGCGAGGAGGAGGAGGTGGTGCGCCTCCTGGACGGCTCCAATCTCTGACATTCAGACCCCGTTTTTTCTTTTTAGTTTTCAGCTTTGTAGACCCTGAACCTCGCGGACTGACTGTGGCCCCAGAGACTTACCGGCCACAAGAGGGAAAGATAAAGACTATTATTATTGTTCTGGCTGCTGAGGACACGCGGAGGTCACGGGTTGAAGGCACACACATGAGGAATGCACTTTTTACACACACACACGCACGCACACAAACAAATCACACAACAACACACACTTTTGCACCTGCAGACACCTCAAACATGCATGCTCTCTCTCCACATAACCTGTAAAGATACACCCGTTTGCACTCTTCATGTGCCTCACCCTTGTCCTGTCTCCGCTGAGGTCATGGTAGACGTCGCCTGGCAGGGGTCAAAGGTCAGAATGAACCGCCGATGCTGGACGCGATGAGGGACCTTGAAACCTCCAGGCTTCTGTTCAGATAAAACTTCCTCACCCGCCCCCCTGCACACACACCAGACCTGTCCGTCCTCCAGAGGAATACATTGTTTACCTGTGAATTAAGTGTGTGTGAGAGCGTGTGTGTGTGTGTGTATGTGGAAGTGTGTGTGTGTGTGTGTGTGTATGTGGAAGTGTGTGTGTGTGTGTGTGTGTGTGTGTGTGTGTCCTAGCGCCACTACATTCCAGGCAGGTTACCATGGGAACTGAGAGGACGTGCACCTGCTCCTCACCCCCAAAACGTGGTAGAAAGTCATGATCGCATGGCTGCTCTCCCTGGGTGCACGTTGATTTAATGAGATGGCTTTAACAAGTGTGTGTGTGTGTGTGTGTGTGTGTGTGTGTGTGTGTGTGTGAGAGACAGAGGGAGGTAAAGAGACATAGATGGGTACTGTATTTCAAGAACAAAAGGAGAAAACTGGAAAAACTAAGACCTTCATGAGTGTGTTTTCATTTTTCATTTCTGAGCCAGCTTCAGCTGTGTGCGTGAGTGTGTGTGCCTGCATGCGTGTGTCACTCCCGTTTATTCATCATTATGAAGGCAGGCTGATTGTGAACGTGAAGGAAACAACAAAATGAGGAATAAGCGTCCATGTTCAGTTCTTCCATGTTCTCTGTTACAGTTCAGTCCCTTCAGGATTTCGCAGGCTGTTTTGGGATTGTTGCAACCTGTAGTTGATTTCATGGCAGTTTGCGATGCACATTGCGATGTTTATAGGCGTTTTTTGCAATGAAATCGCTGGGGCAAGTGAAAATTACCAAAATAGTTGTGATACTGTCTCAGTGTGTCCCACAGAATTAGAATCTGTTTGTGATGGCCATTCAAAGCACCGCTGAAGGACCGTCCCCATGAGAGGCTCTCCTCTGCCTGGATAGCATGAGCTAACAAAAATAGTACAACGTGATTTCGCCACTACTCGTCATAATTTGCCACTTAGGCAGAAGCCTAGCAGCAGCAGTTAAATTCGACACCAAGCCTTTAATCTCGCACCAAAATGGCTCCACTGTCCGTAAACCTGCAAGTAATCGGTAGGTTAAGTTAGCTTTGTGATGCTAACAGTTAGCAGTGTCACTGTGTGTCTGTGACTCCTCCCACAGCAGCTGTCTCAGAGGGGCTGAGTGAATCAATACACTGCGTGCTGCTCTACAATTAAGTGAAATGTTACTCATCTTAAATAATTAAATTTGCGGTAAAGTCGCGGTGGCTGGACAAAACTGTAAGGTCACGCAGAATTCACAGGGATTGGCTAGATTTGCTTTGATTGCTGCAACTGCAACATTGCAAAATCCTGGAGGGACTGTATATCACTTTCCTTGTTCTTCTCAAACTATTACTCATGCTATTTTTACACTATTGATGGTACTGTACTCAGTTATGTATTTACAGCTTGATGCAAAACAAAACTGGAAATCTGCACCGTTTTAAGTGATCACTTACAGTGGAGAAGGATGTTCATGCTACACAGTGAGCTCTTGGTTTTTGTTTCTTTGTCTGAAATCTGTCCACGTCTGAGTTTAAACATCAGTTCAGCATTAATGTTTTCTTTTTTCTTTTAACTGTACAGATAGTTTTAATTTATTATGGATTGTCAAATAACAAAGACTAAAGTTAATTGTCATGTAAAAATGACCCTATTTTATCCACCCTGCTCTCACACTTGCAACAAATTTAGCAACGCACAGTTGGAGTTTCACCCACATCCTGTAAAGCTCCCCAACTAAACACCTGTTTCCAGGAGAATAGAAATGGTTGTCTACACTGCAGCTCATAAACTTTGACGAAATCAGTGCTCTTTTGTTGCAAGTGCCCGATAAGGATCGTGCATGTGCAACCCTCAGAAATGAGAACGAAGCAAGACAGCTAACTATTTAGCTAATTACATCATCAGCTCCAGAAAAAACAATGTGTTAATTGTTTTTTTTTTTTTTGTCCTATCAGACAAGTGAGTTGTTAGATTAACATGCCCAACATGGATATTTAACTAGCCCCAAGCAATCAAGCAAACCTTATTGTTGAGCCCTGAATTTTCAAACAGCAGCTGTATTTGTCATATACAGTGTCCCCCCTCAGTTTATTAGAGGAAAGATAGATCAGTCGTCTTTTCATTAGACCCCGACAGATTCTGTTTAACACTCCATCAGCCTAATTTTCCACCTGGGCAAAGACTCAAAAAAAAAGCAGTCTCAAAATGTAAAGAGATGTTTTTTTTTAATCTATCTGGCACATTGGCGGAGGTTTTTGTGAAGTGCTGTAAAGTTTAGTTGATTCAAAACACACATTAAACACACATTAAACATGGCTTAATAGAGACAATTTCAAACACAAGTACACAAACCAGCTTCACTATAACTCGCAGCATTCACAGACAAACACTTGTCTTTATCTGGACACATTTTCCCCACAAATACAACATGCTAACGTTTTTAGCACAAGCATATGGCATTTTACATTGTATAAATTAGCCTAGCAGCTAGCGGAGATTTCCTCTGCTCATATGAAGCCAGGATAAATTACACACAAGACTTAAAATGCTATTTTTGTGGAGGCTTTATTGTCTTCACAATTTATTGTTTCTTAAATGTAAAATGAAAGTAAATAAAAGCTTTGTTTCCACTGAGGAAAATGGTTTCAGCTCACGCAAATAGACGGGAGGTCTGCGTCACCACAACACCATTACATTTCTAAATTCCACCCTAAGAGTTAAGATTTTAAATAGAGAGATTAATAACACTTTAACATCCCTTAAAATGACAAAATACTGAAAACTGTTCAAGCCCAAGTTTGACGAAATAACCTCAGTTTAAGGAGCAGAGTGAAGCATTTAGTGGCATCTAGTGGTGAGATTGCAGATTGCAACCAACTGAATACCCCTTAACAAACTTTCTCACAAACTTGACACTTTCTTATGCAGAAAAACCCACCAACACAGATGTAGATTATTAAACACGATTAGGCGGACCTGTGATAACTGGACCTTAATAGGATTTCGTCAGCAGCTTCCAAGGACAGGGACAAACTGACGAGCTCCAAATTAGTTAATTTTGAGTAAAACCTTCCTTTGAATTCTGACGCCACATCCAGTCGATCATCTCACGGCCCTTTAAGAACCACTGACATCGATGTAAAACACATCCAGCCTCATATACACTCTGATTGTGGTTACAGCAGGTGGTGCTCAGTCTCGCACGTCCAGTCTTGCTACACTTGCCAAGTGCCTGGCAAAGGTTTTTTTTGGCTTTTCCCACCTGCATTTCATCCAAAACCCCCAAATGAAACACCTGCTACTCCCACCAGCCTTTCCCCTCTTTGTCCTCACAACATGTGACGTGTTTGATCCTTTAAAGTGCAAACGATGAAGGGAAATGAAGTGACGGGGGAGACGGTGAAGCAGGGACAAACAGTAGCACTTTACCTGCAGAGTGGCGGCAGTAGTGTGTGTGCGTGCGTGCGTGAGTGAATGAGTGTACGTGTGCGAGGAAGGTCGGGTTCATCCTGTGTACTTGTTTCCGTTGCAGCGACTGCTCCTGCTGCGTGTCGACAGGCAGCAGAGCCAGATCGTCTTTGTTAACCAGTGGTGTTGCCTAACATTGTATTTCATACTGATCTCGATGTTTTCTCCTTTTTTTTTTTTTTTTAATTTATGGGTAGTGTCGATAGAGTTGTGCATTATTATGAAAAATTTTATGTATGATTACATTGATTGTTTGATTGTACATTTAAAACAAAAATATGTAAAGATTAAATTTTGTTTTAAATTAAAAGGAACAAAAAGATTCAAGTTGCACAGGGTGGTGCTCCTGGTGATTAATTGGGTGTTTTATTCCTGACCCAGTTTCTCCACAGCACAGCTTCCCTCTGGTTTCTTTACCTTTGATGGTTTTCTGTTCTCTTGTTAAAACACTCCAGACCCACAGTTCACTTGCTTGTTCTGGAGCTTTTAACCGAATTTTGTGGTCTTCATCAGCAGATAAAATTTGCTGCTCTTTCTAAGGTCAAGAATCAAATGTCAACCTCGACATTTGAGCCAACATGGACGATAACTCTACTAACTTAACTTCATCTGCTGATGAAGATCATGTATGATGACGACCAAAAGCTCCAGAACATGTGAGTATGTGTGAGTAGAGATTGTTTTGTCAACTGTTGCTCCCAGTGACATTTTCTCAGGGTCTCCATGGTCATGGAGAACCTGGAAAAGTCATGGGATTAGTAAAATTCTTCAAATTTGTGGAAATGTCCTGATGAAAGAGTTTAATATTTATCTTCCATGGATAACCTTCCATGTAATGTAGCATACTCTAAAACTTCCATTAGTAGCCCGGGCTATTATTTGCTTACATGGCTGAAATCAGCAGGCCTATATTTGGGACAGGCCTTTAATTCCTTTCACGTAAAACTGGCGCTCAGAAAAGATCGCAAAGTACGATCAAATTGTTTATTTAAGCCACTCTGAATATTAATTGTTTAACAATGAAGCTTCAGATAACATATCAGTTATGAATCTTTCATTTGATTTAGCTCCGACTGACCTGAAATATTTGAGGATTACAGCACCCGGCAGCACTTTATCCTGTTAAAACAATCCTCACAACTTGGATCAAATTTTATGAAAAACCCTTTTGATTCTTTCGATCTGAGGACCCTTACAGACTAAAGGATTATGAATAACTTACAGGGTAATAAAGGAATGGATGCATAATTTGAGGTAGCCAACAACCTGCTTTTATACATCCAAAGAACTTCTATAAAAAAATGAACTGCTTGGCAACCAGACCAGGCCTTTCATTGAGACAGGCCTTTATTTGTCAAAATATGTAGCCAAACCAGGCTAGTAAAAGGGACTGGGCGTTATATTGGGATGATGCTTTTAATTGTAGTTCTATGGTAAAACCAAGCCAAGTTCCATCTCTCCCTCCATGTATGGCAGCTAGCTGGAATAATGTTTGGACAGAGTTTGGATCTGAAATGTTTGAATAATGCCGGGCAAGAACAATAATGTGACTGTGTGATTGAACACGTTTCCATACTTTCACCTGCTACTGCTTTTAAATTGTACTGCATTTTTTTGAGATGGAGCAATTGACCCATGCAGCCTTTGGCACTTAATTATCACACAAATCCTTTTCCACCAACATGGAACTATTTCCACTCCAGTTCCCGCACCTAATTTTGAGCCATTCAGAGCATTTCGACCAAAAATAAATTGGTTCAGGACCCAAAAAGTTGGATCTCAGCTGGAACCAATCAGGTTTTCCTTGACCTGAAGTGCAGACCGTGAAGACATCAGTGGGCGTGTCATATTCTAAAGGTCGGAAAGAGAGAGGAGAAAAGGCAACAATGAAGAAGTCGAGAAATTGTCAGCGAAAAAAAAAAGCATGCAGTGGTCTCATTAGTAGTTGGTTCAAGCTTCTTTTTTTTTTTTGCATAAAAACAAATACCTCTAATAACAGAACGAAAGTTTGCTGGTGATCAATGTGATCTGCAGTTTTGCTTCTACTGTTTTCTTCTGTTGTGCTACACCCTCCCTTGATGACACATCCTTGATCACAGTGGTTCTGAGTCGAAGTTCTGGATATGTGGCCTCGTTCGCTAGACAGCATCAAGGTTCCAAGAATCCTGAACGGCACTGGCTCAAGAACCAGAGGTAATTTAGTGGAAAGGGGTATCAGAGCCTCAACACGCACTTGGGTTTAATTTCAGCTGCTCTGCTCTTAAAGTAGAGCATTGTAGTTTGAAGGTACGGAGCATTCTTTCTTCAAACATACTGACCAACGGGCCAATCAGCTGTCACTTCCCCTGCTCTACAACTCCAAGTCCACGGACTGACTATAATAATATAATGAACAGTTGGAGTAAAGTGGACTTTATAGTTCTGTTTGTGTTATATGTTGTGAACACAAAACATATTTGAGGCCTTTACAGGAGGTAACAACAGCCTGTTAGTCTAAGTTAGCCTGTACTTGTAGTCTGAATGAGAGTTCATTAATATGTTTTACCACAAGGTGGCGCCTGTGCAGGGCACCATTTAGCATTATTTGGTACTTAACTTTGCAGAGCTGGCAGTGAAACCAAACAAATCTGTCCACATTAAAATCTTTATTTTATTGTGAGACTTTTACTTTGTTGGATTTGGCATCCAAAGCCAACTTGGCAGTAAGAGTCAAGACTAGCTACTGCTGTCGAGGTTCAGCAAAATATCCAGGAAAAGGTGCCAGGACATACATGTATTGCATATATTTTAGTTGTTGAAATGTTAAAATATTGCTTTATTGGGTACAGAGGCTTCACATTTTTACAGTTAGAGAATGTAAGAATTTCTTTAGGCAGACACCGTTCTCTGTATAGGACTTATAGAAAGACTAATCTTCTTCCTGTCCCACTTTTCAGATGTCCCACAACTTAATGGCGAAGTACCACTGACTCACTGGAGCTCTTTCAAATCAAAAAGCCTGTATCCTCTTATTTCCCAATGATTTACAGTCTAAAATCGACAGGAAATACTTCACATTAAGCTTTACTGCCGTGCATCTGCACTGTGAGGTGTTTCTATAATTTTGTCCACTTCCTGTTCTCACATGAGGTCTTGTTCTTGTCTTGCAGTCTTGCTAAAGCTCAACAGTGCGCTGTCTGTCTGTATTATCATCTGCGTTAACAGTGGCTTTCCTGTTGGCACCCAGGGGTGGGAGTGGATTAGGAGAGGTTTTGGGGGGGAGGTGATAGAAGCCTGCCACTTCCCAAACACAGACCAGCCTTTGTCACAGTCCCCTCAGTGTTCAGATTTTGAGTAGCAGCTCCTGACAGCGGCTGAGAGTGTCGGCCTGCTCCCCGGGTCCTGTTACAGAACATCTATCATTCATGGCTGCGTCTGAACCTAAGCTGTTATTGTTCACCTGGAGGCTTCGCTGCTCCTGCCTCATTAAAAATACAACAGATTTTCACATTAAATTCCACATAAAAACTTACATTTTAAAGTCTGCTGGCAGAGTCCAGGTTTTTGTAAAGACTCTTTGTTAATCTAAAGGCATTACTTTCAACAGCAGGGTGCATGTGGTGTAGTGTAACTTTATCTCGTCCAAAGTCAGTCTAAAAGAGTCTAAAACTTTAACGACACTTGTCCGAGATATTTCTGTCCATGTACCTCTTTTCTCCTGCAAACAGCCTCACTCTGAGAGACAGGTGGCTGAAGGTTTCCAGCTCTGTCAGCAGATCCGTTTCCTCCATCACCTTCGTGTCACATCTGAGGAGACAAGCTTGTAACCATGGTTACCGCCACCAAAGAAGGTGACTAGTTTAGCTTACTTTATGTTAGTTAGCTACAAGTTACAGCCATGTTTTGTTTGCATTTTGGAAAAGTGGTATCATAAAAAGTATGTCGAATTAGCTATTAGAAGTTTATGTTTGCAACGTGCTCCTGAATATACAGACAAATACAACTGAGCTACTTTGTTGACAATAGCCTTTTTTAATGATTTCTGAGCAATGTTATGGACATACATTGGCGACGGACATCAGGGATAAAAAGTACATATCCTTCCTCTTACCTTTAGTGCTGTGTATCAGTCTAGATTGTTTTGGTGTGAGTTGCAGAGTGTTGGAGATATCAGCCGTAGAGATGTCTGCCTTCTCTCCAATATAATGGAACTAGATGGCACTCAGCTTGTGGTGTTCAAAGTGCCAAAAATTACATTTGATAAACTCAACATCAATGTCTCTTTCCAGAAATCATGACCTGGTTACTCAAGATAATCCACAGACCTTGTTGTGAGCAGTTTCATGTAGGAACTATTTTCTTTCTGCTGAATTACACCAGCCAATTAGGAAGCGTGCATCTACTCTCTCAACAACAGGCTCAAGCTCTTGACAGCCCTAGATGTAAACATTAATGGCGTCCTCCTCGGCTGAGCTGTAACATCAGCTAGCTCAGTGGTGCTAGGTGAGCTAGCAGTAGATGCAGACTTCTAGGGCTAACCCTATTATTTAAAATCTTCAAAGTTTCCATCGTTGCCGTGGTAATCGTAATCCAAATCAGTATTCAGATATTTCCATTTTTGTTTTGTTTTATCACCATTAACATGCTGGAGGAAACTGAAAGGAGGTGGTAACTGTCAGACACGAATGAGGCCAGTGTCCCCAGCAGTCATTGACCCCACTTTGAGCATTGAATCGGCAGTCCGATGAGGAAAACGAACAGACCCGCGGCGTTCCGAGTTATTAAAAACTTACAGAAGCATTGCTTGCAATAGTCCACCTTCCACCTTCTCTTCCCTCTCTTTATTATTCCCTCTAACACACATGCAGCAGCGCTAAGTCCTACTAAAGTTAGCGTATATGAATATAATTAATTACTACCCCTATTGGAGAGAAGGCAGACATCTCTACAGCTGAGTGCCAAAAAATACATTTGATAAACTCAACAGCAATGTCTCTTTCCAGAAATCATGACCTGGTTACTCAAGATAATCCACAGACCTTGTTGTGAGCAGTTTCATGTGGGAACTATTTACTTTGTACCGAACTACACCTGCCAACTGTATCACCACGCAGGGGGAAGTGTGAGGGGTAATGACAAAGAAAGGAAAAAGAAGGTGGAAGGTGGACTATTGCAAGCAATGTTTCTGTAAGTTTTTAATAACTCAGAATGCCACTGTTTCTTTTCGTTGGACTGTCAATTTAATGCTTGAAGCGGGGGTCGATGACCGTGCTGAGGACACTGGCCTCAGTCATGTCTGACAGTTACCACCTCCTTTCATTTTCCTTCACCTTTAATGTGATAAAACAAAACAAAAATGGAAATATTTGAATACTGATTTGAATGTCGCATACCACGACAGCTTCAAAGCATCTTAATAATCAGGTTAGCCCTAGGAGCGTCCATCTACTGCTAGCTCATCTAGCACCTCTGAGCTAGCTAACGTTGCAGCTCAGCTGAGGAGGACATTTTGCGCTGTCACAAACACAAGCTTGTCATTGAGAGAGTAGATGCACACTTCCTCCTGCACCATGACACAGTTGGCTGGTGTAGTTTGGTAGAAAGAAAATAGTTCCTACATGAAACTGCTCACAACAAGGTCTGTGGATTATCTTGAGTAACCAGGTCATGATATCTGTAAAGAGACATTGCTGTTGTGTTTTTCAAATGTTTTTTGGCACTTTGAGCACCACAAGCTGAGTGCCATCTAGTTCTATTATACTGGAGAGAAGGCAGACATCTCTATGGCTGATATCTCCAACACTCTGCAACTCACACCAAAACAATCTAGACTGATAAATAGCTCTACATGGAAGAGGAAATATGTGTTTCTGATGTGGGGGTGAACTGTGCCTTTAATCTCAAAATACATGCATCATGCCTTTGTGTTCAGTTTTGACTGAGTTAGCTGCGGTTTTTAAGGATAAAAAAGGAACTGCCTTTAACCTCACACAATATCTTTACCTCAAGTTTCTCTCTCCGCCCCTCTGATTTTGCGTTATCTCTCTATTCCATCTCAACAGTCATTAGTATGTATCATAGGTCATGTTGTAATAGCGATCCCTGGAGCAAAAAGTAGTTAAAGTCCCCTAAAATGAACTCTCATCGAGATACATGAGACGTGAAGTAATAGTTAATGTACCAGTGTGTTATTACTGCTAACAACAAAAGAAAAATCAATTAATGTGGGTATAGCAGACATTTGTAAGCAGGTTTTTTACACAGCACTTTCATTTTATTCCACTACAAAAAAGAGCCATCTCAAGAGCACCAGTAAAAGCAGAACAGCACCCAGTTCATCTCCGCCACAGACTGGACTGTTAGCCAAGCAAAGGAAGAAAGAAAAGAGTCCTTGTAGTCCCAGTGTCCACTTTGACATGCAGCAGAAACACAACTGTACTGTAAAGCCTCTGCAGAAGCAAGACGATGCTGAGATCAGGTCTGGCAGTAAATTAAAAACCTAAAACAGCACATGGCGGAGGGAAGGAAACAAAAAGCTACTCTTCTCTACTGAGGAGAAAGAAAACAAAAATAATGTTTAAACTAGCTGAGCAACAAAACCACACCACGATGGGTAATAATAATAATACTCTTTAAAATATTTCAAAGGAAACGGACAGTAACTACCCAGAGGTGTGTGTGTGACCCGATCAGGAAATATACTGTACGCACATAGAGTTACCTGGCTTACTTGTTTTTTTGTAGAAATACAGTAGGCCGTACAATCATGAAATGGTGACCACACTCTCTTTTTGTCAGTCCAGCATGCATCTCTAGGTGAGCAGGACGTTGTACAATGACCGCGGATCGGCTGTAACAGTAGCTGGATGTGAATTCTTGAGTGGATGAAGGAAGCTTAGCTTTCATCGTCATGAAGAGCAGCTTGAGGCAGATTTCTGGAGTTAGTCGTAAAAACCCTAGCACTGTAAGAAACTAAAAACTGAAAAGTCATTTGACCCCCGAGAGTGACGTACCCTAATTCCTTTAAATAATAGCTATGAAAATCTCAACACAGGAAATGTTCCTTTACAATTCGCTGCTTATTACATTAATAATAATATTGATTCCCCGTCCCGTGTACATTCAAGCATGAAAATCCAGAGTGTCTAAAAACCTCACGATGATTTATTCTCGGCCTACAAAGGTTTAAAGATTGTTCCGTTCAGAAAAGATAAATAAAAATGTGATTGTTTCTTCCAAAATGTGAAATCAAAAATGTCTTGACCTTTTTGTCTTCAAGTGGAAATGCATAGCAGGATAACTCGTCGCTCCTCCAGGGTTTGTCATGTCGTCACACGTGGCTTTCGTAAAACACCTGGCAAGAAGGGGTCTTATTTGCGTCTGTCGGTTCGGGCGCAGCCTGGTCGGCGTCCTGCTCTCCCTCCGCCTCAGGCTGCTCCTGGCTGCTGGGAGGAGAGAGCGGCGGCGGGCAGGAGGGGGGAGGCAAGGAGGGTGTGGCTTCTGGCTGAGGCGGAGCTTCGATGCTGCAGTAACCGCCGACGGCGAGCTGCGGGTGGACCGACACCTGGATGGCGATGTGCTGCGGCTGCTCGTGAACTGAGGAGTTGTCCGAGTCGGCGGCGGGGGACTCGCTGCGCTCCCTCTCCCGCCCTCGCTCTCTCTCCCTCTCCTGCAGGATGGTGAAGACATCCCTCGCCCCGATGGCCCTGCTCGCCGTCTCGCCTGCCTGCCTGAGGAAGGTGTGCCTCATCTCCTCCACCCCCACCACCTCCAGGATCTCCTCCATGAAGGTGCGGCAGTTCATGATGAGCGGCGGCAGCGGGATGCTGCGAGCCAGCTCCTCGATGTACCGCGCGAACTCCATGGTCTTGAACTGCGTCACCTTGGCGAGCTCCAGCGTCTTCGCTGAGGTGATGATGGGGATTCGCTTGGCGATCTCGAAGGCCTTCTGCAGCTTCTCGGCGCCCTCCGTGCGGAAGAATTCGTTGATGGCTTTCTCCGTCTTCTTCAGGTGGCTGCTCATCATGCAGAGGCGTGTGACGTTCAGGGCCATGATGATGGTGAAGGTCACCAGACACACCACCATGTAGTACACGCCCATGTCGCCGTTAGTGAAGACCACTCGCAGCGTCACTGTGCAGTTGGTGCTGCCGTGCACGTTGGACGCCATGCAGGTGTACTTTCCACGGTCTGCGAACTCGATGCTGGTGATGTTGAGGACGCCAGAGTCCAGCAAGCACCACTTGTCACCTACAGGGAGAGAGACAGAGAGCGGTCATGAATATGGCGAACACAAACAATTAAAGCTCCACCCCAGTGTATTTTGTATTTTATATTTCATGTTTTTCAGAGTCATTTCCTGACGATGCTGATTAGCCACAATGTCTGACAGTTACTTTTTGACAGGTGATGACCAGCTGCTGTTGGACAACTTCTCCAACTCTATATGAACAAGCAGCACAAACACTTCGACCGCTCCATTACTTGTGGTACCATGTGGTAAAAAAATTGGCCTCTGCCGACCTGCTTTTAAAAGCATGATTACTCACTGGCACCACGTAACCCACTAAATATGCAGTTTTCCCACCAACTCACTCTGAGGTCAAAGTTTAAACCCTGAAATCCTCTTAATGCATCTGTTCCTCTGCCGTGTGATTCAACAGCACACACTCCTCTGCAGTGTTGCTGCAGCTGATGTTTGCTGCTTTCCAAGAGGAACGTGCTTACTCAGATTTGCTTACGCTCTACTTCTGCGCTGTTTTGCTTCTTTTTTTATAGAGTCTGACAGCTCGGCAGAACACAATGTTTTGCCACACATATTTATAAATCAATGAAAAGGAAAACAAGCGCCTCTGAGCCCAGTTTGTCAGCAGCAGCGTACACTGTGATCTCATGTCTGAGCCTCCATCTGTGCTCATCTCAACCTCTGGCTCTGTAATGTAAAGCCACTTTATGTTCAGCATGCGCCACGTTAATGTGTGATGTATATTTATATCCGATTGTGAGTTGAGACGGCAGAGCAGCAGCAGCCACTTTATTATTCCTGCCTCGCCTTCAATATTTAAACAGGTGACGTGGCCGCTCTGTGTGCTGAGGTTTGAGTAATCAAAACAACAACCATCTCTTTACGTGCTGAATCATTTAGTTACACAAACATTACAACATATATAATCATACTTTACCGTCACACCTGTCCATTTACAAACATAACCTTTGGAAAATGTTTCATAAAATGTAAAATGAGGCATAGGTTTATTGTTTTAATAGCTTTAAATGTACTGATCCGAACGTGTGAACAGTTTGTGTGTGCAGCCTGGCTTTAGTATGTTCTGTGAAATCCCCAAAATCTTGTGTGTGATTTTTATTGGCCCTGATTATTTGCTCTGGTTATCAGCTCTTATCAAAGTCATGAGGTAGTTATTCTGACTGATAACCCCATTGACCTATATGGTGATGTGACAGCCTCTGTGCGCTTCAAAGGAATAGCTCGGCAATTTAGGAAATGCGCTTATTTGCTTTCTGGTGGAGGGTTAGATAAGAAGATTGATGCTACACACACGTCTGTCTGTCAAATATAAAGCTGGGGGCAGCTGATGGTTAGCTTAGCTTAGCTTAGCACAAAGACTGGAGATGGGGGAACAGCTAGTCTGCCGGCTCTTATCAGTGGTGACGAAACTGTTCAGAGCAAGTAACAGCCCCAAAATTTTATCTACAAGTGCACGTCACACACTGAGCGAGCCGCCTGTTAATGACGCTGTGGGCTAAGGGGCATGTAGCTACTTCCATGTTTCAGATGATACGTCATGTTTGTAGTCGACCAATGAAGATGAGTTTACATATCACCTTGGGTTCGTCCTTCACCTTCTCAAAATGATCCCACACTTTGGATTTCCTGCCCGACATGTTATTAACTCTTTCATAATGTTGCCAGACACTTGTAATCACAATCTGAGCGGTGTCAGCGGCAAGCACGTTAAGTGGACGTACACTGACCGTACAAACACGCCCTGAGTGTTCATATCGCAGCCTGGCCACTGCTCTCCCTCAATACTGGACCAATTTCAAAAAACTGTTGTTCCCATTAGTCACACAGACACAAAAACATGGGAAAATAGGGACCAAGTTAAAAAATACCCACAGCTCTTGAGTATGGTAGTGAATGCTTTGTTTACCCCCTCAGTGTAAAGGGATGTGACGTTTTGTGGGCGTTCTATAAATACCAACTGTATCTGCAGACTTTCAAACTGGCTATTTCCCCTTGTTTTCAACCTTTATTCTAAGCTAAGCTAAAGGGGCTGCAGCTTTACCTTTAGCAAAACAGCTCCTGATAAAAACTGTACACACAAGCTCTGTGTTGTGTCCTGATCTGGCCCTTCAAAGACAACTCTGAGGGCAGCATTTTATCCACAAGCAGCACAGTGTAGTGAATTCAGCTGCAACTCCTCCTCAACCTCTCGCTGTGTGAACTGCGTGGGAGTAAAGATGGACAGATATCACAGAAGGTGTCTGGTAATCTGTAGTCTGAAGTCTGAAAGAGGCCATAACAACATTTTGCCGCCTTCTGACCTGCTAGCACGATCTTGTTCCCACACTGGGATCCTCTGGAGGAGATGAATGGGTGGTCAGGAAATGCAGCCTGGCCGACAACACCGTCCCGCCCATCCGCCTCTTCGTATGAGAGCGAGATGTCTAATTTTACCTCCACCAGCAGATCATGCGATTGATGTGCTGCCCGATACTACATGCAAGTTTGTAGGGAAAGAAAGAAGCAGCAACAGATAGACATCTACAGCCCCCCTCCTTAATTACATTCCTCTGTGCAGCCCAGGGGAGAGGCTCTGTGATGGTGCAGACGCTGCTCTGGGTTTTTGGGCCGTAATAACAATGCTTCGCCTCCTCTCTGATGGCAGGTTTCAACAGGCCGGCTCAGAGGAAGCATCAAAACCACTCCTTACTCTGCGTTCCTTCTTCTCCGAGGTGAGTCCCAGTGTTCAAAACACAGACACCGGAGCCTCGGCTTGAATGAAAATCAGTAGTAAAAACTTTCTCAGTGATTTCCCTGATCTAATTGGCAAACGCCTGCTATCACAGCAACAAAATAATCACGGCTGCCAGACAAAATGTGCAATAAGTGAGCCAAGTTTCCCTGAGGAACTCAAGGCCGTCTGAAGAGAGACATCTGCAGCATTTTTATCAGACCACAACCAGAACTTAAACACTGTACACAAAGTCTTCAGTTCCTGTCTTGTCTTTACACTCTTCCCTTTTACGTCCTGAACATACACAATTACAAGCTGGAGGGTCTTTCTTTTTACCAATAGTAATCCTCTTGTAACTGTGATGCCGTCACACACAAAGCATCCACACAGAAACTCTTTCCACTGGAACATAAGATGGCATTTCATGACCTGAATTAACACGAATAAGCTCCGATAGCTGCTTTCATAAAAGGGCACAGCAGCCTTCGTAAGACTCAACCAGAGACTGTGGCCGTAACATTTTTAACATTTCTTCTTTTGTCCTGAGAGACACAGGTGGGGAAACACACCAGTGGTGTATGACGTGCACTAAACACCTGCGAGCATTGTTTTCCCTCACATTCTGGCTTTGTCTGTATGTGCATCAAAGCATCAGGATACACCATGGTCCTACTTCCTGGTGTCCAAGCACATCAACACTGCCAGAGAACCCAACATTTTTTCCACATATGTGAGTATCCTTGGTACATTATCTTCAGACCGTATACTGCATTAGGTGTGCCAGTAATGGCAATGACGTCAAACTCTAAATAAGAGGTCTGTTGCTAGGGGTAGGTGGTATGTAAGGTGATATATGGGCCTATAGACCAGACAGACAACCATTACAGTCTTGGCCATACTGTTTACACTGTGGTAGTGATCCTTTTAATATGTCTGGGGACAGTTTTGCAAATTAATTACCTAAACTGCTTTATAAGACTTTCATTTTTGAGTAATTATTCAATTTGATCAAGTTTCATCATTTATCAGTTATTTAACTTACTGGATTCGTCAAAAACAGATATTCAGTCTGTTTTTTTAACTCATAAACAGCGCCTAAAATCGGTTTTCCATAAACTATACAGTATCATAACATATACTGACAAGTAACATGTACAGTGGCAGAAGATTTTATCCTGTACAAACTATTTAAGGTGTACTTCACAGGATTGTTGGTCACTGTTTTGGACACACTCGCCAGCACAACTGAAAGTAAAAACCAACCCCAGATTCAAACTCGTTGGTGTTTTGCCTCGCTATATTTGCATGTCTTCAGTGCTGTGTCTCTGGCACCTGGTCACTACCTTTATACACCGTCCCGGTGAAGTGCACACCCATGAACGTCCCAAACGCAGAAAAAAAATAAAGAGTGTCTGCAGATAAACTCATCATCACACACTTGTAGTAGGTCTTAAGTGATGATTCAGAGGGATTACTCTTGTATGAGTCGGTGCGTTGTTTTAGGAAAATCCTGCGTAGTGTATCTTAAAATAGTTTGCAGGTTCTTCAAGCCTTTCCCAAAGCTAGAGGCTTCCAGGTTTCTGCATCAAAGACTACTGGCTTCTTCTATGACACCTGGAAATGTCACTGAGCAAGGCACCGAGCTAATACTACCTTTTAAGAGCGGATAAAATGGATGTGTGTTAACCAGAAAAGCATCTTGAGATCAAAAACCTCTCCCGACAGCTCGAAAACAAGCAATATAAAACACAAAATGAGATTACTACAAGGAAAAGCCAAAAAGTATGTTTAAATAAGCTGAAAGACAAAGGGGCAACTACACATGATTACAAAAACCAGCTAAATTACACCCTGCTCATGGCATGTAGATGATTCCCTACAAAAATCCTGCAACAGTGCTTTGAAACAGAAGAAAGGAACCTCAGTCGTCATTTGCTAAATTAAGGATGTGCTGCCTCTGTGACACCATTTCCTGGGGGAAACCCTGCAGTATGTCTACTAACTAATTTGCTCCAATTAAGGAATACATCTAAATGTCTGAGGTCTTATTCATAGTAAATAATAAACCTCAGACACTCTGTGCATATGCTGCTAATTAAATTATAACTGAGTGACGTGCAGTGGTGTTGACAAAGAGAACAGGAAACCAGGTTTAAAGTAACAGCACAATATGTCTCACCGTTCGCCTCCGTGTCCAGACGGTCACCATGGGAGTTGAACCACTGAACACTAGGGAATGGCTCTCCGGTGACATTGCAATCAATCAGCGCACAGCTCCCCTCCCGGGCAATTATCTGGCTCACTTTAGTGAACACAACTGGGACAAACCCGCCTTCTGTCACGTTGCCGCTCTCTGTACGGTTTCCATCTGTGTCCACCGATAAGGCCCCGGTGGTGTTGGAGGCGATAAGGGACGCCAGGACCAGAGAAATGTATCCACCGCCCCAGTGCATTTTCTCAGACTGTCGGTGTGTCACCCGAGGGGGAAGAGACTCTGTCATTCCTCCTGAGTCTCCATCCAGCAGACTGGCTATCTCTTGATAGTGGAAGTCAATTTGGTATTCAGCTCTGTGACTTGTAACATCTCACTGGAAAACAAGAATGTGATTGGCGGGTATTAATCAGAGATAGTGCGGGACAAAACAAGCAGTGCCTGCTCAGGACTTGATGCACGGCGGCTGGAACAAGCCGATAAGGGAGCTGTTTTTAATAACCAGCTCTGACATAAACACAGGGCTGCAACTAATGAATATTTTCAGAAAATTGTGCAGCATGCCCCTCGTGATTTCCCACAGCTCAGGTTAAGTCTTCAAATTGCTTGTTTTGTGCAACAAACAGCCCCAAACCAAAATATATTCAATTTACAATGATACAAAACAGTCCTCACATATTAGAAGCTAGAAGCTACTTGAAATCTGACGTACACTATCAATTAATTGTCAAAATAGTTGCTGATTTCCTGTTGATATTAATGCATACATCATATTGAGCTTTTTTTCTCCAAATGCATTTAAATGTTGATTGCTGATTACTGATCAACCATGCATACCAAAAATCTGATGGTTGCAGCTCCACATATGACCTTGCTTTTCTCAATTTTGTCTTCTTATGAGTTAAATACTGTATTTAGGACACTTTATTGACAGTGTCCAGTGATTATATAGACAATAATATTTGTACCCATTTCCTTTCAGTCTCGCAGGGTTGTATTAGACTCATGGAAAACAGCAGGTCTTTGTCAGCCATAAAAAAAATAACTGGCAATTAGCCTGTACCATTTTACTACCATACACATCATATTAATGTTCATTTAGTTAGCTAACAGTACAAAGCACCAGCAATTAGTCGGGGGTCTCTTCAATGCAAAACAAGCTGATAATACGTGTTTGCAGCTAAAAGCGATTACATCATATGGAAATAATATTTCAAAATACACACAGATGTTTATTACTTGTAATAAAGCAACAATAGATGATTAGTAACGTTAATTAGACAGGTATTACCCCCAGTGTTGTTAACAGCACCTCTTGGCTCGGTTAATATGAAAACAAAGCCACACTACAACATAACGGAGCAATGTGTGGGCTCGGTCTAACGTCTGGTTTGCTCCGTTGCCGCACATACAGTAGCCGAGGATGGCATTGTTTCACCCTGAATGCGGGTCAATTAATAGCTTATAACGGTGTAATAGTTAAATGTAAATGTGAGTGAATGTGTGAGAATGATTTTAAGATTTCGTAGCATCAAGCGGTGCCGTTTAAAACGCTAGACATACACGAAACAAGGGCGTGGGACGCGGCTATGTGCTGGACGGCGGTTTTATATCACGGGACGCTTCCAGAACGGTGCCGCTGCAAACTGCAAACAAGCGGTGGCTCTTTAACATATACAAAACGAAGACTGTTACGCGTGTAGCTGCGTTTTTAGAAAATATATCCGTTGACAACAGTCGGCAAAAAGCGTATGAAGAACTGAATGTAAGCCGAGAAATGCAGCAACGTTACCTCCTCACCAACGGTCCAGCAAACGGCCAACTCAGCGTCGACGATAGCAGATTAAACGTTGACTAAACCCGACTAAATGTCACGTTTCACCGTTAATCAGAGTCATTTGCTATACTCACATCATGGTCTGCCGCTCCGGAGACGAAGGTCCGTCGTTAGCTGTTTTTCCGGCATCTCCATCCTCCCCCTGCCGCCGGCTGTCAGCTATGTAACCACCAGCTCCTGTCTCTGAGCCTCAGTGCAGACTGGGTGGAAACATCGCCAGTTGCTGGGGTTGTGTTGCCAGTGCAGGTGGGGCAACAAAATAAATAAACCCCTTTCAATACAATGATTTTAGAGCATTTGCATTATTCTAAAATAGTTACTACTGCACTAACATTTATCCATGGGAAAAGTCTATTTCAAGAGGTAATACATTTAATTTGCTTTCTAAACAGGTAGTTAACATGTACTAAGTGACTACTGATGTTTTCACAGACTTCATTTTCACTGTTATATTCTCACACAGGTTTAAAGCTGCATTACTTGACATTATGGCCACTAGGGGGCAGCAGAGCAAGCCATAAACATAAGGCATGATCACCGTTTAAAGGTTGTAGATCAACAGATATCAACATATCCATTAATATCCTGATACTTTTACCTTCAACAAAGTTAAGTGGAAGCATATCTTGCGAGGTCATTGTCGTGATGAGCTGCGTTATCTTCTCAGATCGGGTGGGATCACAGCGTCTCTGGGTGAACGATGTCAATTTGGGCTGTGTGTGGCCAGCACCACTAGTTGAATGTGGTCGCACATTGCTCCACTCGAGTGATTATATGCCAGTTTTTTTTTCTGACACAGCCCACACCATGCTGTTTTAAAACCCTAGTCAACTCGGAAAATTACCGTGGGGAGGGGGGCTGCTGTCTGACGGCTCTGTAGCACCCACTAGTGGTAGGCAGCCACATGACAGTTAAGCGACCTTGTACATGAATAAAACACTAATAGCTTTAACCGAATAATATTTCTGGTGCCGACTAGCAAGGGGGCGCACGTTTAATCGTATGTACTGCACCGTTGGCCCTCGTTGTCGCTAGTTGGCTTTTTTCCGCTGATTCAGAATGTTGAATAGAAGGCAGGGAAGAGAAACAGAAGTGAGGAACGTAAACAAAGAGCTAAAGTCGAGAGGGAGTGAGACCAAAACAAACTTGTTATATAAGGTAATACTGTTTTTCTTTAGCAATTGAGCTCATTAGCAGAAACGTTTCATGATGGTTTGTATTATTGTTCATTGGTGTAGAGTAAATATGCTTTGTTCTTTCAACATTGGATTGTGTTATTGATTTGCTAGCTGGCTAATATGCAGCAACAAAGTCGCTTGTTCATGCCGCCTTTGCATTTTTACACAGAACCAAACAATGGCAGCATCAGGTCATATCCCGGCATCGCGGAATCAAAAGAGGCGTGATGGGCGTGACATGTAACACAACACCATTGGCCTCTAGTATGACATATAACAGACACGTCAGCAGCACTTTATAAGCAATAATAATGGCATTAACATGGCAATAACAGTTATTTACTGTCCTTGTTATATGGCAGCTGATTTTGCCGGACCTCATTGTTTTGCAAGCGTTGTCGGCCACTGTTCTTCATCTTTTAGTTAGCTGCTAACTGCCATCAGCAACTTTTTAAATCTCCCACAGTAGGTCACACGGAGGACACATTGTCAAAACATCACACCTGTGCTGCCAGCTGTTCCATTTTTACAGACATCATTTCAGCACTGTTACTCCTTCTGTTCCTGGCTCACAGGCGAGTCAACTCAAAGAACGGCAAGGTTGCATGATGGCACAATAGTCCCACCTTGAATAGGCAGTGTAAAAGGGGCTTACAATTTAGGGGGATTTAGTGTCATCCAGTGGTGAAGATTGCAGATTGCAACCAGGTGAAACTTGGTTGGTTAGAGAACTCTTAAACTCTTGGTTAGAATTCCTTCAGTGTTCTTTGTTCAGCGGGTTTTTAGCGAGTGATTAAAACAAGTAAACAAGTAAAAACGCTGAATAAAAATGTGTTACAAATTAGTGTTTCTCTTACATGTAACACAAATGGCCCTATCTAGAGCCAGTGTTTGGTTTGACCATTCTGGGCCACTGTACATGGTGGTGCAACATAGCGAACTCCATAGATGAGGACCTGTTTTCTATGTAGATATGAATGTCTCATTCTAAGGTAATGAAAACACAACTGTTTTTACTGCAGGTGATTATATAGATTTAAAGTCAATCTCAACCCAACACTTATGGGAGGTAGTGTCAAGATTGAGGCTCATTAAAGCATTTTATGTTGTTCTGTCTGTTAATGTTCTGTATTTCTGCTCTGTGATTGTGCAGCCTGGCCTTGACGCCTCCTTCAGGAGACAGCAGCAGGGTCTGGGCAGCTCTCCAGTTTGCTATCGACCAGTACAAAGACTGATGGGTTTGAAAACCTTCCCTACATAAAGGTAAAGTACATTTAATTTTGTGGTGCGGTAAGTAGACCTCTCTGTGCACATCGGCTTTAAGACGCGGCACAGCGACAGGTAAATGGACTGTGGTGAAAACCCATTCCCCTCAGCGTTTATTATCATCTGAAGCTAACAGGCTGGACTATGAAAAGACACTGGAGGCAGACTGTAGTGTTGTGGAGAGCAGATGAAACAAAAATAGGACCAGGGGCATTAAAGGCAGGAAGAAACAGCAAACATCCTGTTGAAACAAAACCATTCCTGGAAGAACTAAAGGCAGAACAAAAGCACCTCTAAATAAACACCAAGGCGGGGGATATCCAGGCTGTACAGCGCAGGCTGTTGTTTGTGTGCCAGGGTTGATAAGTGACTGACCTTGAAGCCACAGTTAAAGTCTGAAATCGACACTGCTCCAAGGCATCAGCAAGCAGTCAATAACCAAGTCAATAATGCTCCATTTGGGTGTAGAAATATGGATATTTAAAGAAATGTGTGTGTATGGTTGTGTTCATCAAACATTAGCTTATATGCATCAACTGTTCCCTGAAGGGAAAATACAATTTGGTATTTTTAATGTTTCCATTTTTTGAGAAATGATCCTTTCTCTGCGCTAAATTTCATCAGATTTGGAGGTTAGTTTGCAACTTTTACTCCAGTGCTCAGCAGCTGTAGTAACTAGTTCTCTTTGCATTACAGTTTTACATGAAAGTAAGCAAAGCTGCCTGAGCAGGGGCGGAGCCAGACATTGGATCGTGGCTCAGCCCAAACCAAGGGGCGTCTGGTTGCATGCTTCCTGTGGAAATTTGTTTCCCTTCTATGGTAGCTACATGCACTGTTTTTCAAGCTATTTGAGTTAACAGAGGGCCTACAGGTCTGTATATCATTTGGGAAAAACATGATAGCTGCCAACTCTAAAAACACATATGCAAGAGGCAACATATCTGTTGGGTACACAGCTTGTACATCCAGAGATGCACCACACACAGGTACACATCAGAGGAAGCCACATCAGAGGGACTCAAACGCTAATGAGCAAAAGTAGGTTTCTGAGCGTGGACTTAAACGAGTTAATGGAGGGGCGGATCTGATTGGGAGGACATTGCTGTTACGCAGTTTGGAGGCAGATACATCAAAGGCACATTCATCCCTGAGCTTGAATCTGGGGTGTGGGAGCGCCAGGAGTCCCAGGTCAGCTGACCAGAGGGATGCTAGGGGGTAGAGTAAGGGGTGAGGTGGTCTGTGATGTAGGATGGGTCCAGATCATTAAGGCATCCTGTAGGGGTGTCAAACATACGACTCAGGGGCACTAGATGACGAGACTAAGAGGTGACAGGTTTCTGGAAGAGCAAGTTGAACAATGAGCTGCCCACTTCCTGTAAAATTCTGCTTAGATAGAGTAGGAATTTGGCGTAAATAACATCACTAACAGTGAAGTAACAGAACTTCTGCTCCATCGATTTGTTGGTCCAGTCAGAGACCGATTAAAAATGACTGTATTTGTACCTTCATTATTTAAATGAAGGTATTTTAGTCCATCTACACATATACAGATATTTTTGACAACAGATAATTTCCTCTACATTTTGGTCACATGTCAACTCACAAACGCAGTTTTAGGTCACAGTGATTTAAAGTCCACCAGCAATGTCAATTTTGGATAACACCCAGTCAAACCAGCAGATAATGGGACACTTTCCAGAGTGGGATTGCTGTAGATAAAGAATAAAAGGACAACTTTTGCATGTCCAGAACATCGCTCCTATGTTTAAGTGAGCTCCTGTGTCCTTATATCAAAGGTAAATCAGCAGTGATAAGATCTCCAGTCGATGTTTTGAAAAAAGGTGACATTAACCTACGCTTTAATACCTTTGTGACAAGGCCTTTGATATACTGCTGAAGACCGCAAACACCAGGTAGGGTTGAGTAGTTTTTCCGTTGTGGTTTGGACAAAGATATCTTGTAAAATGAGGATCATGTGGACAGAATTATTTTTAAAACAGAGGGGGAAAATATTTGTTTTCAAAACCATCTGTAAATGTGTACACAGGGCCTTAAAAACCTTAAAAAAAAAATCAGGGCTTTTGAGAAAACATCTGGGGCTGGAGCCACAGAGCCCCCCCCCCCAACTCTGCCCAAGTTGTTATTGTACACCAGTGGTTCCCAACCGGTGAGTCATGGTTCAAAAGAGGGTCACATGTCCATTCTGAATGGACCGCAGGTCACTGGAAAATGTGTCAAGTTTGTGAAAAACTTAAGTACAATGAATTTCTGGCACAGAGCTTTTATTCTGAAGTGTTTTGTATTAAACTGTGTGGACTTTGAACTAATGACTAAGAAAGGAGAAATCTGCACCCCAGGGCTGGACCAGCTGGGAACCACTGCTGTAGACTGTACACCTTTAGGACTCCAGAATTTAACACTGTGACAGAGATCACTAACTGCTAATATTTTACTTCTTCAAAAGTTAAATTTGAAATGCAGGAGTTAGGAGACATAGTTAAAGAGGAGTATATTCACACAGCAATATACTGCAGTCTTCACAGTAAACAACTGTTACAAAAGCCTGATTTTAAGCCGACACTTTGACCCTGTTATGACGGTTTCATCTTTACACAAACACCTCTGAGAGCTCGGTCACACTGCTCACTAAGTGCTACATATTAACACAGCAGGGAGAAAGTCTGTACAAAGGAAAAGAAAACAGTTTCCACCATCACACAGACTAGCTAGCTGTCAGCATGTGCTGTTATGTGATCACTAAGCATGAGGGTGTTTCTTCAGGTCATCAGGAAACACAGATGGTTGAACTTCGAACCTGCTTAAAATGAAGAAAGTTCTTAAAATGCATGACTAATTTCTTCTCTCAAATGTTTCTATAAACCAGCATGGACTCTGAATGTTGGTGTTAGCTGGTTCTTCAATATGTGGGGTTTAATTTTTATGAAATAAGGTTACATATTTAGATAAGACACCTCTTGTTGTATGCTTTTTGGAAGCAAAGTAGAAAAACAGAAGTAAAGTCAGAGTCTCTGGCACGATTTACCTTCTTTAAAGAGGCACAGAAAAGAGGAAACTGTGTTAAATTGATTGCAACACTTGCCGTTTTAAGAACTTTATTGTGAAACTGATGACTTGTGTCTTTTGTCTGTGCCAGAGATAACCACTGAGCCAGTCTCTCAATACAGTTGTTCTCAATATTACAAGTGTTGCTGGTGTTTGGACCCTTAAAGGTGCAATGTTTAGGATTTAGTGGCATCTAGTGGTGAGGTTGCAACACTGCAGCCAACTACAACTTCTGTTTGCCAAGAGTGTGGGAGAAGCACAATGGCTGACACGACAACACGAATGGCACCGTCTAGAGCTAGTGTTTTGTTTGTCTGTCCTGAGCTACTGTAGAAACATGGTGGTGCAACATGGTGGATTCTGTGAACAAGGACCCACTCTGTGTGTAGATAAAAACATCTAATTCAACTGTGTGATGTCATCATGTCAATATGGACCAAAATCTCTGAGGAATGTTTCCAGCACCTTGTTGAATCTATGCCACGAAGAATTAAGGCAGTTCTGAAGGCAAAAGGGGTCCAACCCGGTACTAGTAAGGTGTACCTGTACTTTGTCCTGTCAAGTGTCGTAAGAGTTCGTGATGATTAGGACGACTGTATATCATATTTTCATTCCGACTTTTTAAATGACACCTTTCCAAAATATGCACATTGAACCTTGCTAGACTGCAATAGAGCAACATTTGCGATAATGAGAGAAAAAGATAACAGCTTGAAAAACATCATCACTTTAACAGAAATGTAAGTTGCTGATCTATCTGAACAGGTGTGATCAATAAGTTTTGAGGTTTTAGTGGAGCAGCAGTCACAAACACACAGACTCAAGACACAAAATACAGACTGATAAAAAAAGTTATTTACTTTTTTGTACATGAAAAACATCAAAGCATCTTCACTGTGTAGTGTAACAATGGAGCAACAAATTATAAAGTAAACAACTATATATTTTTTTTGTTCATAAACTTATCCATTGCTCCAAATGAGCTCCAGTGCTCAGCTCCAAGTGCATGTATTCTGAGTGTCCCCTCTCGATCACAGTATAGATACAGTCAGAGGTTACACAATATTAAAATATATTAAAACTCGTTAATATATTTTAACATAAAACACTTCAATAGTAAGTTAGAAAAATAATGCAGCATCTTATAGGGAGATATAGATCTTTGATCACGAAGCTTCTTTGATGAGAGAAGAGAGTCTTCTGAAAGCCTGCGGAAATAATGGTGTGAGATTAGAGTCATTATAGTGTGTGTGTGTGTGTGTGTGTGTGTGTGTACATACCTCGTCAATCTGCTCTGGTGTGGAGAGAGAAAAGGCCGCTCTGACGTAGGGACAGGGCTCACTACTGTTGATCATGAAGACGCCTCCGGGAACCAGCAGCACCTTTTAGCATACAGACACCCGTGACTCATGTTACTTAGTATTTTTAGTTTTTACGCAGCTGATCTTTTAATTTCTAACTGAGGGTATGAACTAGTGATTAATCTTCTTCGTAAGAACAAACCGTGCTTTGTTTTTACCAGTAGTTGTTTGTGTGCCAGAGCACCAGAGAGATCCATCAAATATAATTTTCAGGACAATGCAAAATGCTTAAAGGGAGATATTCGCACATCCAGCTATCTCAGATGCAGGTGCGTTGGAAAGAATCACTTGAGTCTTGAAACAAAGATCCCATACACTGGTTATACTAACGTTTCCGCCCCTGTGGACCTTCATTAAGAGTAATTCACACCATTCTTTACAACACTGATCTTAAAGGAGAAGTCTGGTATTTTGCACTTTGAGCCCCATTTCTGGGTTGTTTATGATGAAATAGCGTGGTTAAGACCAAAACTGTGACGATTGCTCATTTTCGGAGAATTTGACTCTCCCCCACCTGGCTTAACAATGCTGTGTATGGCCATGTGTGAACCTGTCCGAAAACTACCCTAAACGTTAGTTTTCAAAGCCATGAAACTCAGTGGTGTTCGTTGATGTTGTGACATAAAAATCGTAGCAAACTGTGGTTTCCATGATGATTTATTTGACATTTTGTCTAATCCATTGGTTTTCTATAGGAAGCCTCATTGTCCATTGGTAGTAATCGCCACCGGAAACGCAAAGGGGGTTGTTTACGACAAGGTTGTAGTCATTGTAGTCTTTTAGCTCAGCGAAAGTGCCGGCTCGACAGTGCTGTGTGCCCTCCTGGAGGAAGAACGAGAACGAACAAAGACGTTTTGTAATAAGTTTAAAAAACTGCACAACGGATTACTCGCTTATAACGCCAGCCTCCTTCTTCTGCTTCTTCTCTGTGTCCCATTACATTGCAATGGTTTCCTGCCGGTTGGCGACACCCACTTAAAGAAGCATTATCGCCATCAAGTGGGCTGGAGTGTATAACGCTTCAGGCTCAAACGAACAATCAAGTGAAAGTTTACACCCAGGTGTGAGGCAGCAGAAAAAATAGTTCCACAATCGAGATGAATAGTGAAAACACGGATGGAAACCACAGTTTGCTACAATTTTTATGTCAAAACATCAACGAACACCACTGACCACTCTGTGAGTTTCATGGCTTTGAAAACGAACGTTTAGGGTGGTTTTAGGACAGATATACACATGGCCATAGGCAGCAGTGTTAAGACAGGCTGGGAAAGCCAAATTCTCAGAAAAGGAGCAGTCGTCACAATTTTGGTCTTAGCCACTCTATTAGCCCCTTTTACACTGCCAGATTTTCAGCGAATGTTGGGCCATTTTGCCGGCAAGCTGTGAGCGTTTAGACACACACAGCCGGATTGGCGAGTTGATCCGAGGTGCCCAATTTTCCGCCTTGTAGGGTAGACATATTGGCGGAACCCTTTTAGTTTTAACAGACCGAGGCGCCCTCCGCAACGGGAGGAGCTGTTGATGACGCCTCACGTGCGAGCCACTGGCGGTGGATAAACAGGAAACAGCTGATAGCAGGAATTAGCGAGCAGCTAGTAGCATGAGGGAAACGCAAACCTGACAGACACTGTAAAGATGAGCAACTGGGGAGACAAAGAATAGCGCGCCCTCCTTGTCCTCGCAAATGAAGAGGCCATTAACCGTCAGATGACTGGGTCGGTGAAGAACGGGCCGACTTACGAGAGAATCGCCGAAGGACTGACCAGCTGCAGCTTCCCTCCCACATCACTGTTTACGTCACACGCTGAGCTACACGTTTTGTTGCCCGAAAAAGGTGCATTCTGTATAAACAAAATTAGGCAGGCGGCATTTTGCTGCACTCCCCGATTTTGTTTTTATACTGCCAATGCTGAAAAAAGACTGATTGGGCTTTCCTGCAGATTTGCACAACTCCTGTTTAAAAAGGGCTTTTCATGATAAACAACCCAGAAATGGGGCTCAGAGTGCAAAATACTGGACTTCTCCTTTATATCAATAGTGCTGCGCCCATTTCTGACTTCAAACATGACATCTCATCATCTAAAGAGAAAATATCGTCTAGGCAGTAAAACATCAAAGTTCCCCTTGAACTGACAAATATGAGAGTTGCATCAATCCTCTCGTCTAACTCTTGGTGATGTCAAACTACCCCTTTAACATCTTTTGGAAATATCACATCTTAATAATCTTTCCCATGATACAATCCACCCTATTAAACAGAGGCTTAAATCATGGTAAAGATAAGCACTGAAGGGGATTCTCTGTAATCTAAAGTGTTGTTCTCTCTGTCAGCAGCGTAGTCAGACACTGGGGAGTCTTCACTATCTGCTGTGTGGATGTTTAAAATATCCTGGAAGCCTTGCATGCAGACCTTGGAAAAGCCTGATTGTGCCCACTCTTGTTTATACACAGCTAATCGGCTATTCGCTAGCAGGGATTTACAAATGCTCCGTGTGTGTGTGTGTGTGTGTGTGTGGGAGGGAAAACACTCAGTTGCTAAACACACTCAGAGAGAACACAATGGCCGCTTTGCCTGCACCATCCTACACTCTATTCAGACACAAACCCTGCCTGCCCCTGGTGCTCACAAACAGACACAGAGGGGAAAAAAAACAACACTAAAATGCATTCTGGGTACCTGCTATGAGCATAATAGAGTACAGTAAGTTTGTGTTAACCTTCGTTGGATTGAGACTGGTATGTGAGGGTTTAAAGTGAGATACAATAGGAACATGTTCTGACCTCTTTCTCCAAGGCTTTCTCCATAATGAGCTGCTGGGTGTCGGCTGTGCCCTTCAGTTTGATCCATAGGAACATGCCTGCTGATGGGGCGTGCCAGTCTGCTACATCTACACACACACACACACACACATTAGAAAAAGAAGAAAGGAAAGGCCTGGGTGTGTGCTGACATGTTTTTTGAGTGTGTAAATCAACATATCAACGTGAAAGTGTCTCAACGTGTAGTTCCTCAAATGGTCACTAGGTGGTGGCTCCAAGAAAACTGTACTAATGTGACTCAGACATCTTAAACTTTTCACTTCAACTGTCTATTTGTTTCCAGCAGGGAATAATCTGGACAGCTAATTTCACGTCCTCTTGTTTGTGTCTCAGAGGCATTGCTTCTTTGTCCTAAAGCTTTACAACACAAACCCATGCCCCAACAGGTAAAACAAACACATACAAACAAATTGTTTTTTCTTTCTCTGCCTTTAAAGCACTAAGAAGTCTGACCATACTGGATTATAATAATTCAGAGAGTCTGCATTAATGAAAATGACTTTAGTTTAACAAAAAAACATGGTTAGTTGGTTTTCCAGAGCTTTCAGCCACATGACATGACTTAAAAGTCTTTAATAAACAGCAAACTCCCCTTCACTATATAACTTGCAAAAACAAAACAAAAAAAAACAACAAAACATTTATTTGGATGTTTCCGGACTACACCATCAAGCAAAAGGCTTTCTTGCCTGATGAAGGTCTAGAACTCGTTCCTCTCCTATGCACCTGTTTAGTTAGAGTAGCCATCTTGAATGGTTGGAACTACACTATCTCGCCATAACAGTAAAGGGCAACAGTAAAGACTGAAGCTGGTCACTTTTTATATCGCTAACTGGACTTTTTGTATTGCTAGCTGGACTTTTCATAATGCTAACTGGACTGTTTGTATTTCTAACTGGACTTTTTGTATTTCTAACTGGACTTTTTGTATCGCTAACTGGACTTTTTGTATTGCTAACTGGACTGTTTGTATTTCTAACTGGACTTTTTGTATTTCTAACTGGACTTTTTGTATCGCTAACTGGACTTTTTGTATTGCTAACTGGACTTTTTATATTGCTAACTGGACTTTTTGTATCGCTAACTGGACTTTTTGTATTGCTAACTGGTCTTTTTGTATTGCTAACTGGACTTTTTGCATCGCTAACTGGACTTTTTGTATTGCTACCTGGACTTTTTATATTGCTAACTGGACTTTTTGTATCGCTAACTGAACTTTTTGTATCGCTAACTGAACTTTTTGTATCGCTAACTGGACTTTTTGTATTGCTAGCTGGACTTTTCATAATGCTAACTGGACTTTTTGTATTTCTAACTGGACTTTTTGTATTGCTAACCGGACTTTTTGTATTGCTAACTGGACTTTTTATATTGCTAACTGGACTTTTTGTATCGCTACCTGGACTGTTTGTATTGCTAACTGAACTTTTTGTTTCGCTAACTGAACTTTTTGTATCGCTAACTGGACTTTTTGTATTGCTAACTGGACTTTTTGTATTGCTAACTGGACTTTTTGTATCGCTAACTGGACTTTTTGTATTGCTAACTGGACTTTTTGTATTGCTAACTGGACTTTTTGTATCGCTAACTGGACTTTTTGTATTGCTAACTGGACTTTTTGTATTGCTAACTGGACTTTTTGTATCGCTAACTGGACTTTTTGTATTGCTAACTGGACTTTTTGTATTGCTAACTGGACTTTTTGTATCGCTAACTGGACTTTTTGTATTGCTAACTGGACTTTTTGTATTGCTAACTGGACTTTTTGTATTGCTAACTGGACTTTTTGTATTGCTAACTGGACTTTTTGTATTGCTAACTGGACTTTTTGTATTGCTAACTGGACTTTTTGTATTGCTAACTGGACTTTTTGTATTGCTAACTGGACTTTTTGTATTGCTAACTGGACTTTTTGTATTGCTAACTGGACTTTTTGTATTGCTAACTGGACTTTTTGTATTGCTAACTGGACTTTTTGTATTGCTAACTGGACTTTTTGTATCGCTAACTGGACTTTTTGTATTGCTAACTGGACTTTTTGTATTGCTAACTGGACTTTTTGTATTGCTAACTGGACTTTTTATATTGCTAACTGGACTTTTTGTATCGCTACCTGGACTGTTTGTATTGCTAACTGAACTTTTTGTATCGCTAACTGAACTTTTTGTATCGCTAACTGGACTTTTTATATTGCTAACTGGACTTTTTGTATTGCTAACTGGACTTTTTGTATTGCTAACTGGACTTTTTGTATCGCTAACTGGACTTTTTGTATTGCTAACTGGACTTTTTGTATTGCTAACTGGACTTTTTGTATTGCTAACTGGACTTTTTGTATTGCTAACTGGACTTTTTGTATTGCTAACTGGACTTTTTGTATTGCTAACTGGACTTTTTGTATTGCTAACTGGACTTTTTGTATCGCTAACTGGACTTTTTGTATTGCTAACTGGACTTTTTGTATTGCTAACTGGACTTTTTGTATTGCTAACTGGACTTTTTGTATTGCTAACTGGACTTTTTGTATCGCTAACTGGACTTTTTGTATTGCTAACTGGACTTTTTGTATTGCTAACTGGACTTTTTGTATTGCTAACTGGACTTTTTGTATTGCTAACTGGACTTTTTGTATTGCTAACTGGACTTTTTGTATTGCTAACTGGACTTTTTGTATTGCTAACTGGACTTTTTGTATCGCTAACTGGACTTTTTGTATTGCTAACTGGACTTTTTGTATTGCTAACTGGACTTTTTGTATTGCTAACTGGACTTTTTGTATTGCTAACTGGACTTTTTGTATTGCTAACTGGACTTTTTGTATTGCTAACTGGACTTTTTGTATTGCTAACTGGACTTTTTGTATTGCTAACTGGACTTTTTGTATTGCTAACTGGACTTTTTGTATTGCTAACTGGACTTTTTGTATCGCTAACTGGACTTTTTGTATTGCTAACTGGACTTTTTGTATTGCTAACTGGACTTTTTGTATTGCTAACTGGACTTTTTATATTGCTAACTGGACTTTTTGTATCGCTACCTGGACTGTTTGTATTGCTAACTGAACTTTTTGTATCGCTAACTGAACTTTTTGTATAGCTAACTGGACTTTTTATATCGCTAACTGGACTTTTTGTATTGCTAACTGGACTTTTTGTATTGCTAACTGGACTTTTTGTATTGCTAACTGGACTTTTTGTATTGCTAACTGGACTTTTTGTATTGCTAACTGGACTTTTTGTATTGCTAACTGGACTTTTTGTATTGCTAACTGGACTTTTTGTATTGCTAACTGGACTTTTTGTATTGCTAACTGGACTTTTTGTATTGCTAACTGGACTTTTTGTATCGCTAACTGGACTTTTTGTATTGCTAACTGGACTTTTTGTATTGCTAACTGGACTTTTTGTATCGCTAACTGGACTTTTTGTATTGCTAACTGGACTTTTTGTATTGCTAACTGGACTTTTTGTATTGCTAACTGGACTTTTTGTATTGCTAACTGGACTTTTTGTATTGCTAACTGGACTTTTTGTATTGCTAACTGGACTTTTTGTATTGCTAACTGGACTTTTTGTATTGCTAACTGGACTTTTTGTATTGCTAACTGGACTTTTTGTATTGCTAACTGGACTTTTTGTATTGCTAACTGGACTTTTTGTATTGCTAACTGGACTTTTTGTATTGCTAACTGGACTTTTTGTATCGCTAACTGGACTTTTTGTATTGCTAACTGGACTTTTTGTATTGCTAACTGGACTTTTTGTATTGCTAACTGGACTTTTTGTATTGCTAACTGGACTTTTTGTATTGCTAACTGGACTTTTTGTATTGCTAACTGGACTTTTTGTATAGCTAACTGGACTTTTTGTATCGCTAACTGGACTTTTTGTATTGCTAACTGGACTTTTTATATTGCTAACTGGACTTTTTGTATCGCTAACTGGACTTTTTGTATTGCTAACTGGTCTTTTTGTATTGCTAACTGGACTTTTTGCATCGCTAACTGGACTTTTTGTATTGCTACCTGGACTTTTTATATTGCTAACTGGACTTTTTGTATCGCTAACTGAACTTTTTGTATCGCTAACTGAACTTTTTGTATCGCTAACTGGACTTTTTGTATTGCTAGCTGGACTTTTCATAATGCTAACTGGACTTTTTGTATTTCTAACTGGACTTTTTGTATTGCTAACCGGACTTTTTGTATTGCTAACTGGACTTTTTATATTGCTAACTGGACTTTTTGTATCGCTACCTGGACTGTTTGTATTGCTAACTGAACTTTGTGTATCGCTAACTGAACTTTTTGTATCGCTAACTGGCATTTTTATATTGCTAACTGGACTTTTTGGTATCGCTAACTGGACTTTTTCTATTGTTAACTGGACTTTTTGGTATCGCTAACTGGACTTTTTCTATCGCTAACTGGACTTTTTGGTATCGCTAACTGGACTTTTTGGTATCACTAACTGGACTTTTTGTATTGCTAACTGGACAGTCTAGAGAGGAAACCTATAATGCACAAATGTCAGATCTAGCTTGATACAGATTTTATTTTTCATTTTTTAAATTTTTAGTAGAAATAATACTAAAAGGTACCAAGGTTATTACAGTTAACCAAAACTACTGTAAATCTTCAATTAAAAGCCTTGTCCCTATTAAACACCCAGTCCCTTTTACTAGGGACAAATAAAGGCCTGTCTCAATTAGAGGTCTGGTCTGGTTCCAAGTTCCTTGGATGTATAACACAGGATTGTTGGCTACCCACTTGAGCTAACATTAGATAGCTGTTTAGATCACACATACAAATATAAATTTTGAAACAATGGTCAATATGGAGATGCTACACATTGTTAGCTCAGTTAGATTCTCCATAATTCAAGCGTTCAGTTCATTTTACTGGAACCATGAGCACCAGAAGACTGTAATACATTCAGATTTACTGGCCTGGTGAAAAACAAATGGTGACTACTTTCCTCTAAAGCTGTCACTAAGTCAGAGTACTTGTCCATTCGTCGATTACCCGTTCAATTCTTTATGTCCCTTTAGTACGTAAGGGTACACTAATCAAAAAGAATCAAAAGGGTTTTTTAGAAAATTAATTCAAATTATAAATACTGTTTTAACAGGATGAAGTGGTGTTGTGTTGGTATGCCAGGTGTCGTTTTCTTTACTGTGACTGTAAGTCAACTGGCTTTACAACGTGCTGTGTTTGTATCCTAAGATCTAATCTAAACTTCTTAAATGTAATCTCTGAGAAATACCCCCATATTATAATAAAATAAATTAGACCTGATACTAAAACTATTTTAAAAAAAACTAAAACAAACCTTTAAAACAATAAAAACTGAAACAAGCAAACCTACTTGAAACTACTACAAAATATTTTGGTTGTTTTTTACAGTAACAGTAAGGAAAACCTGAAGTTGAACTCGACATTAACCGTTCAAACTGCTTAGGTAATTTTCTGTGCTTTTCCCACAAACCTTTGAGCCACTTGTCCGCAGAGCTGATCATGGCATCGCGTTGTTTCCTGTAAAACTCAATCACCCTGTGAGAGATGAGAAAACTCACTGAAATGGCACTGTGGAGGGATATAAATGGATCTTATTGTGTTTCTAAACCAATCAAACCAGTGGTGCAGTGCAGATGTGGCTGTGCAGCAGCACTGTGGGAGGGAACGTACCCGTCTATGTGCTGGAGGAAACCCTCTTGGCCCCAGCTGTGCAACAACTGAGACACCATGAGCTGAAAGAAAGCAGGTTATATGAGGTGAGGACAGATTCACAAAGGCCTACAACTTCAGATCTGCATGTCTATGATTGCACACATGCCACACCTTCTGTCTTTCACAACAGAGCCTTTCAGTTATAATGTCCAGATTAAAAAAGCAGAGGCGTGGACTGAGTCAGAGGAGGATGGCGGCAGATCTTAATTAATCTCCCTCTTCTTCCTTATTAAACCCTCCTCTGCAGCTGCTGCTGATCCACACACACCACATCGCCTTGTTTGGCTCTGACCGTTGGCGTGACGACACACCCCTTTGCTGGTGAGTTTGTGCAAAGCTGGCGTGCCAGAGGGGTGGAGAGAGATGCTGGCAGTGAGCACAAGTATATGGTGTGTGTAGAGAGCACACTGAACCACCCTGATGTGTGCTCACTGCTGCATGGTGACGTACTGTTACTGTCAGGATCAGGATTCAGTGTTTTACAGTTTTGTATTGAGATGTCAGGTTGATGGAGGGTGCCACACAGAACGCATCAAACATTTCAGCCAACTAATGCAAAGTATTTTAAAGATAATTTCTGTGATAGACGACAGAGTTTAAAAGTAATACGTTTAAATGCGTACATGACCCCGCACGACCTGAGAGCAGGAATCTGTCTGCAGCTAAACCAGTTAATGTTAGCTGTTGACTGAACAGGGTGTGGCGGAGTTCAATCAAGATGTCATTTACCTGTGTGAAGGTGCTAGTGTGCATCGTGGAGGCCTGGATGTGGAGCACCACTCTGTCTACCAACAGTTTGGGACCGGTTACAAAACCTATCCTCAGCCTGAAACAAACACACACACAGACACGTAGTCAGAGACATAAACCTGCTGGTGCACTCCTGCATAATGTAGCTCTGGATATACACTGCCTCATGCCTGGTCTGTAATATAAAAATATTAATTTCAAAATGAGATTAGAATATAGTATAGATTAAATGATCAAATGCAGAAGAAAATCTGTTATCAAAAAAGCACACGCTGTCCTAATCTGTGAGGGTTTGAATCTCTTGCTAAGCCTCAAACTACACAAATCTGTTCTGATCATGTCAAACGTCTGATTTCTAAGACTCTGATCTGGGAAAATGTGAACATGACCTCATAGTTTAAGATGCTTATTGATGTATATGTGCAAGAACGTGTCTCTAATATGGTAAAGAAATACACATACACAAAGTTTGAAACACAGTATTGTCTAAAAGTTGTCACATCACTAAAGTTTTAGCCTTTTTAAATTGGCTCCCCGTGTGTTTTAGAATAGATTTTAAGATTTTTTTTAAAGATTTAAGACGTACTTTGAGGTCCTCGGGCAGATGATTCTTGTCTGTTCCAGAGGCCCAGCTGAAAACTAAAGCAGACAGAGTGTTTGCTGTCAAGGCCCCAAGGCTCTGGAACAGTCTGCCCGAGGAAATCAGGTCGGCCGAGTCAGGGATCTCTTTTAAGTCCCTTCTTAAAACATACTTTTATCTGAGAACCTTTCTTGATTTTACTTGTGTTTAAGTTCATTTAAACTGTCTTTTATTTCCTGTTTTTACACACTAAAGTGTTTTTATCAGTTGTGTTAAAAGCAGTAATTTTCATGTCTTGTCTGTTTTAATTTTTAACATGTAAAGCACTTTATAACTCTGTTTTGAAAAGTGCTTTGTAATAAAGATTTTTATTATTACTTATGAGGTACTTATCCGTAATCAGTGTATTACATACAATAGATGGTGGTAAGCGCACCCACAGTTTGGAGAAGCAGGCAGGAGTACAGTCACAGAAGCAAAGTAATGTACTGCTGTGGACAGGGGCGGCAGCAAAATGTATTTTAGCTACCTAATAAAATCAGTGTCAGTTTAAGTGGATGATGCTATGTTTAGAATATTTTCAACGCTTTCCCTGACTGACAGATGGCCCTTTCTGAAGTGGTTAGCTATGCACCCTAATGTCACCAGACTCCTTTGACAAAACCAGTGATTTTACCTCACAGAGCACAGGAGCTGCTGGTCTACCACTGCCTCGATCGGTTAGTTTGTTTCTCACCCTAGTGAGAAACACCAGTGTGGGACACTGGTGTTTAATAGGGTTAGCTCAGATTCACCAAAGTCACACAATAACACAAACAAACTAAAGCCCAGTTCAGACCAAAGATTTGCGACAAGATGAACAGTTTTAGAACGTCGCAGAGAAAAGAATTAAAAGCATGTCACATGTATCTACTAAGTCAAAATGACAGCGGATGGCGTGTTCGCTTGCTGCAGCAGGTGCTTCGTCCGAACCTTCTGTTTCCATCCTCAGTGTGCCAGTGTCGGTCGGGGGGTCGCTACTGCTGCTCACTGTATGTGCTTGTGCCCCGCCGACACACACACACATTCTCATTCACTGATTAATTCGTGCTGCTCACTGATATTATTGTGGTGTATTTGGCATTTTTCACTGTTTCATCACTACTGCAAATGCAGCAGTAGCCAGTATCTCACTATCTCTATCCTCACTCATATTTTAAGAAGCTACAAATTATATTCAGCCACAAAATAAACCTGAAAAGCTGCAAATCAGAACAATGTACAGAGAGTTGTTGCATAGAGATGATACACCATCTCATCTGGTTGCATTGGTGTGAACTGGCAGGTTTTTAGAACGTTGCAGAGCTGCGCATTACAAGTAGCTGCCTGTTTCAACTTGTAATGTTGCGAATCTTTGGTCTGAACTGGGCAAAGGATGTTTTCAAACCATCAGATGTGACCAGTGAAGAATCACACAGGCAAACTAAACACTGTAACAGACTGGAAAAGAAACACCCTGTTCTCCATAAGGACAAACCACAAAGACTGTGCTGCAGCAGAGGCAATAAAATCTTAAATGGTAACAGCAGAGCTTCACATGCAGTGGAGTTAAACAGGGTGAACACACACACAGACACACACACACACACACACACACACACACACACACACACACAAATTCAGAAGCGCACCCTGAAGACAGGATCTTAGAGAATGAGTCTGTCCTGATGATCCTCCCGTCAACATCCATGGAGAGAAACGTGGGAGCCCACGGCTGCCAAATAAATGAGACATGTTTATGGTTATCCAGAGTCAGAGTGCTCAGATCAGACCACACTAAATGAACTGCTTCACCTTTTAAATGTCAGTAAAGTCACTGTCATTGACAAACAGATGAAGTGAGTGAACTCTTTTTGTACCTTGTCAAACTGCAGGAAGTAGTACGGGTCGTCCTCGATGATGAGCATGTCGTACTGCCTGGCCAGCTATTTAAACAGACCGCAGGACATTAATTGAAAACGGCACAGTGAATCTGCGGGGAAATCAGCTTCACAACAAGTTCTAATAAGGTGAGTCAGCGATTCACTGCCTGAGAGAGGAGTGATTCAAATCATCTGCAGTGTGTGCGTGCAGTCGTATTTTGTGTGAGTTGCAGGAGACAAACCTCGTACACCTCCTGCTTCCTCTGAGCCGTCATGGAGGCACCTGTGGGGTTTCCTCCGTTGGGGATGGTGTAGAGGACCTTGGGAGCGTTGCTGTCGGGCTTTTGCACCTCCGAGGGGTCCCACCGAGACAAAACCTCCTTCAGGGCTGCGGGTATCATGCCGTGCTGATCGCTGGGAACATTGATTATGTTGCAGCCGAGCGGCTGAAGCTGCAGAGGCAAACAGAAGGTTAGAGGGTCACAGAAGGTGAAGTCACTGTATGTGTGTGTGTGTGTGTGTGTTATAAAGAAAGTGCTCTCACTGCTGCCAGTGTGCCTGAGTATGTGGGTGCATCCAGCAGGACGTTGTCTCCAGGGTTGACCAGCATCTCAAACACCTACAACCAAAAACATATCATCACTTTAAAACCATGTTTATAAACGATTCTAAAGTTAACAAAAGTTGTACAGTATTAAGCTGATAAAACATTGGTAAGTGTGTTTATTAACCTGTTAAAGGGACAGTTCACACCAAATCAAAAATACATATTCTTCCTCTTTCATGTAGTGCTGTGTATCAGTCTAGACTGTTTTGGTGTGAGTTGCAGAGTGTTGGAGATATCAGCTGTAGAGATGTCTGCCTTCTCTCCAGTATAATGGAACTAGATGTCACTCAGCTTGTGGTGCTCAAAGTGCAAAAAAATACATTTGATAAACTCAACATCAATGTCTCTGTCTAGAAATCATGACCTGGTTACTCAAGATAATCCACAGACCTTGTTGTGAGCAGTTTCATGTAGGAACTATTTTCTTTCTGCTGAATTACACCAGCCAATTAGGAAGCGTGCATCTACTCTCTCAACAACAGGCTCAAGCTCTTGACAGCCCTAGATGTAAACATTAATGGCGTCCTCCTCGGCTGAGCTGTAACATCAGCTAGCTCAGTGGTGCTAGGTGAGCTAGCAGTAGATGCAGACTTCTAGGGCTAACCCTATTATTTAAAATCTTCAAAGTTTCAATCGTTGCCGTGGTAATCGTAATCCAAATCAGTATTCAGATATTTCCATTTTTGTTTTGTTTTATCACCATTAACATGCTGGAGGAAACTGAAAGGAGGTGGTAACTGTCAGACACGAATGAGGCCAGTGTCCCCAGCAGTCATCGACCCCACTTTGAGCATTGAATCGGCAGTCCGATGAGGAAAACGAACAGGTGAGACGAACTGCTGACGGTTACGCACAGCTGTCAACTGTAGAGACACACTTGCTTTACATGTACTAGTCTCTATATACAGACGCTACATTCAGTGAATGTAGAGTCTGTAGGCAAACCCTGGAGATCTTGTCTCTGGAAGAAGAGCAGAAGAGCCCTGGTTTACGGTTGTAGGCTGTTTGTAGTCTGCGTGATATTGATCAGTCACGTTTGAGCCGGCTGCAGTTGTTGCCAGGTTAAACGGTCCGTGTGGTGAACTAACGAGGCAGAACATAATTGGCTTCACTGCAAACTTTGAATCCATCGCAATGGTTCAGCATATTTACTTATATATAAACGGAAGTTGGAAACAGAAATTTGCCTCCTCCGCCCAAATCAAACCGGAATGCCAAAAAACCGGGGGTCTGCCCCCAGAGGCTGTATCGCTGTCTGCCAGAAGTCAGGCACCGAATACAGCCGATGGGTTCCGAGAACGTACATGTACTGATGCGGCCTGACCCACGGCGTTCCTAGTTATTAAAAACTTACGGAAACATTGCTTGCAATAGTCCACCTTCCACCTTCTCTTCCCTCTCTTTATCATTCCCTCTAACACACACATGCAGCGGCGCTAAGTCCTACTAAAGTTAGCGTATATGAATATAATTAATTACTATTGGAAAGAAGGCAGACATCTCTACGGCTGATATGTCCAACAAAAACAATCTACACTGATAAACAGCACTACAGGAAAGAGGAACAATGTATTTCTGAGTTGGGGGTGAACTGTCCCTTTAAAGAACACCAGGGTCCTCCTGATCCTACAACAGAGCATTATTGACACTAACGTCTTCATGTGACCCTCTAACAGCTGGCTACACACACACATGAGTGACAGTAAACAGCAGCGCTGCAGCTGGTGGTGTCAGTACCTTACAGAGCCCCTCCTGGCTCCCTGTGGTCACACACATTTCCACCGCAGACGGTGGGTTGTGGAGGTTCTTCTGTAGGTTCTTCATCCATGTTAGCAGCTCCGGTATTCTGCACAAGAATTGAAATTAAACTTACTACACGTCACACTCACACTGTAATAGTCTGTGGTGTTTTTATATAAATAAATTACATTTCTGTTTTGATACTTACAGTGTTTGTCAGTCCAGACAATACTCGATTTATGAGTATCTGAATTTCCAGTATTTACTCAATTATAGATGCTGTTGCTAGGTAGGTTTTATGAGCAGAAAAAGACTATATAAGAACCCAGAAACAAGATATTACTGCCCAAAACATCACACAAGAGAGCTATAAACTTGGGCATGCAGGTGTACAATACTCTTTGTGATTTGTCCTCAGTATATTAACTTTTTAATCATTATATTGTGGGCATTTTATCCATTTATTAGATCGCAATACTTGAGAAAAATGACAGGAAATGAGGGGTAGAGATGGATAACAGCTGGATTTGAGTCGCCTTAATCCTGAGGCATCACATATAAACTATCTGTTATCACTGATTAACCAACAGAAACCACTGGAGTCTGCAGGTGGTGTGAGTCACGTGAGGTTTGAGTTTAAGGAGGTGGTGATTAAAGATAAAAGTCACAGCAGAGTGACAACCTCCACCCACTGCTGCTCTATTTTCTGATGTAATTGAAAGCAATGTCTCTGTTCGTGTTCTGGAAAGTCTCAAGGTGACGTGATTGATTTTAGAAACAAAGGATTCCCGTGTTGATCTCTCACCCATTAGAGGCAGAGTACTGCAGAGCCCTCTTCATTGTCGTCTCATCGAAGGTGATGGTCTGTCCATTCCTCACTGTGATGGACGCTGACTGAAAGGGGAAGGTGTTGGGGTTGGGAGCTCCTCCGGCCAGAGAGATCAGGGTCGGAGGTGAACGCTGCTGCAGCTCGGCTTCATACAGGACGAGACACATGATTGTACTTCAACCACTTCAGCTTATCAGACAACAACCATCCATCCATTTTCATCTGCTTATGCTAAAACTTTTCAATCAAATGTGTCCCAGTTTTTGCCTCAGCATCCAACTGTGTGTCAGTGTGTCACCTGTCATACAATATGCATCACTTAAACTTATATCTGACATGGTTCATGACCTTCAGGTGCTTTGTCATCTGAGTTTAAGTCCCTGAGCCCCATTTTATATCTGATAAAAAGAGACTGTAGCGTGGGTTTTCTCCAGGTACTCCAGCTTCCTCTCACAGTCCAAAGACATGCAGGTTAATTGGTGACTCTAAATTGTCCGTAGGTGTGAATGTGAATGTGAATGGTTGTCTGTCTCTATGTGTCAGCCCTGTGATAGTCTGGCGACCTGTCCAGGGTGTACCCTGCCTCTCACCCATTGTCAGCTGGGATAGGCTCCAGCCCATTGGTGGCTTTCTGGATAGGCTACTCGGAGGGAATACTACTACAGCAGTATTTTTCTGCAGTGTAAAGGGCGCATTATTCTCATGGGGAGATGCGCCTACACAGGCGGGTGCTCAATGCGCGTGCACATGCTTGATTGATGGTGATTCAAATAAAACGTCACTGTGAGAAAAATATCAATTACATTCTTTAACATGTGACCATAGCTGAGAGCAGAGCTGCAGAGCTGCTGCCACTTTAAGAGAGACGCTGTGCGCATTTACGCACGAGGATCAGTGTGTCTTCTTCTTTTATCAGCTGACATTTCAACGGCCTTTGGATGCTTAATTATCTTAAAATCTGGTTTTAAGACTTTAATTAGACCACAACCAGTTATTTTTTAGAATGAATTCATTGATTGTTTGGTCTATAAAATGTGAGACACTAGTTATAAATGTTCATCACTGTTTCCTTCAAATTGCACATTTTCTCCCATCAACAGCCCAAACTCACAGATCCTCGGTTTACTGTTACTCAAGACACAAAAATGCAGTAAATTCTTTAACCTGAGAGACTGAAACTAGGGAATGTTTGGTATTCTCAAATAATGGTTAAAGCACACAGAGCCGGCACACTCTGCAGCAGGACAGGGAGGAATGGTGCTCAGCTGTTACATGTCGCCTGGGGGTCCCTGCAGCAGGTTGATCTGGCCATGCTGCACAGAGGGAAATACTCACTGAGGATCCTGATGGGGGAAGGCTTCCTGGCTGCACTGACAGCTGTCAGAAACCGAGCGTAGTTCATGGTTCCTGTCAAAATACACAATCAGAAAAATCAGTTATGTCCTCACATTCATTCATTTAGCTTCCGCCTGTTGCTGCATGCCTGAAAAAACTTAGCGATGCATCTATACTGTTATAATCTTATTTTCTGATTAATATAAAACGCAGTTAATGAAGTCTATGCAACCAAAAACAGCTCGACATAAAACAATTCCCACTTTCAACATGCTTCCAGGCAGAATAAAAGACAAGTTTGGCGACACACAACTGAATCACTTCTATATATTTACGTTACATTAATTAAATCAACTCTAGACTGTGTTAAAGTGACCTGACATACACGAGAGGGGACACACACACTCCTTGGCACACTGTACTGAGCAGGCAGTCACAAATAAAACCGATTAGAAGTCATAAATTTAATGGCATTTATGTTATAAACTCAACCACGTCGGCTGTATAACTGACCTTGCTTATCTCGGCTCGGCCGCCCCGGTGACTTCTGGTCAATGTATTTCTTGAGCCACTCAGATCACAGTCTTAATAGGCGGTGTTCACAGCGTGAACTACATTACCCAAGGTGTAAAACAAAAACACAAATATAGCGAGGAGGTGTGTTTGCAGACCTGGAGACTGCAGATCTGGACACCTTGTATTTCGCGACAGCGCCCTCTATTACATTGGAAGCCAACATACTATTACAACTATTGAATATGGCCGACGACGATCCGAATGTGAATCATATTATTTGTTTAAACTATTTTGTTGAATTAGAGAGCGAACTTCATGTTTTACAGTGATACGTTTAAAATGATATGACTGTCTTTACCACGATAGTCTGAAAGGCACGTCAAATATGGGTTAAAGTAGTAGGTAATAGTTTAGCTTGTCAACAATGAACTGTTTGACCTGCACATTTTGTTTCATGAAACCGAAGCGCGATGACGAATAATTTTAGCATGTGCTTTAAATTAAACATGAATAAATGATTAAAGCAATGAAGTGGATGATATGAGAAAAACGTGTATAGGCTTACGTTTTCATACAAGCATGAAACTGTTTACATATTGGCAATTAGTGTACTTTATGCTAAAAGTTAATTTTGTATTCATGTATATCATGTAATACACCTTTATTTTTATTTTTTTTTTTCCTTTATTATTCATAATATTATATATTACGTGTGTTTATATCACTACATTGATATTACTCTATAGCATATATTTAGAGATTTTGTGGATAGAAATTAAGCTCATCCAGCGCAGATGATCAGAAATGTATTTTTGTCTATTATTAGGTTCTGGCCTTGTTTATGTGCGTAAAACGGTTGAAAAATCTTAACTTTGAATAATTAGGGACTCTCTTTTTAAGGTGCACATAACAATCCAGAAAGGGGAAACCACAGTGAAGTGGAGTTTTGTGGAGGATCAAAGGCAGATGAGGAAGGAAGGGGCACTATTGTTAATATGTCGATATAATAATCTATTTGCTATGCTCCAGAATCTTCAGTATTTCAGTGTAGACTGTGATAGGTATTTAATTTTTTTTTTTAAGTGTTTCTGTTTTCAATTTTGTGATATGTTTCCCTGATGTGTGATGTAACCACTGCACACAATAAAACATTTCAAACCATTTCAGTATTTCACAGCCTTTGTTTCAAATTCCCACAACAAAAGTGAGCACTGGACACCCAAGACCAGACATTTCCTATTATATGTTGTAGCGGGTTTGATCAATGCAGTGCAAGTTTTTGGCGTGCTAGTCAGAGCAGTCTGATGAATATTAAGAAATAAAGAACTAAAATAGTTGGATCAAACCATACAGAACAACCAGCAAACAATAATGATGCAGAACAGCACCCAGGCATAAATCAACAATTAAATCTTGGTATTTTTATTCGGGTGTAATAAAATCTTAAAATTGTAAATTGTAATAAAGCATTAAAAGTCCAACTTCTTTCAAACAGTGGTGTTTGGGTGAGACGCTGATTTAGTTGCAGTTATACAGCCGTCCAGTAGGGGACGAAAAACAAGGGGTCTAGAACTGCGGGTCTGAATCTGCAGTCTCCGGGTCTGCAGAGACATACTATTGAATATAGCTGACGATGCGATACTTTCGCGTGAGATTTTGGTAATTTCTTCAATAAGTCGGTCCTGTTTAACTATTTAAATTTACTGACAATAAAGACAACGGCTGTAAATGTTTACCGGTGTGAAGTCTTGTGCGTCAGTCGCCGGTTAAGTTTTGTTTTTTCTCCACAAGATGGCAGTCAACCGTATCCGAGGGCTCAAAATAACCGGAAGTGACGACGCGGTGAACTTCCGTGTTGTTCACTTAGCTTAGTCGTGCTAGCTGGAAACATCTGTGCTCGATTCGTACGACAAACACAGCAATTTTAGCTTAATTTTAAATCTGTTACAGACACATTTATCTCAGGGTTACAGTTTATGCTACCTCCTTTTCATTCCAAAGTGGGTTCTTGAATACATTTTGCGATGGGAGTCTTTTTAGCCGTTGAACGCATGCTAGCAAAAGTTAGCGACCCCCTGGCTAAGTAAGGTAAGTTACAGTTGGTGTCAATGCTAACAGGCTCAATCAAATTAACTTTTTATTATTTTCTAAATAAATGAAAAGGAGACGGATAAGGTAACACATCAAAGGGGGAATATTAACATTCACTTAAATCAACGTAGCAGTTGAGCCGGTTGTTAGCTTAGTTGTGCTAACTGGCTACGCAAGACAAACATAGTAAGGTTAGTTTAAACTTTACATCTGTTTCTAAGTTGTTTCAGGGTTACAGTTGTTGGCACGACTGTTTCTTTCAAAATTCAGTGATAACTCGAGTTTATTTTTGCGACGGGGTGCTTTTAGGCGTTTAATGCATGCTAGCAAACGTTAGCAACCCCATACAGTCAAAGTCATAGCTAACGGTCTCGTTCAAATTAACCTTTAGTTAGTTTCTAAATGAATAAAAAGATAAAGTATTGCCATGGCCTCTGTAACACATCAAATTGGGAAACCTAACATGCACCTGAAGCTACGTAGCTGTTGCCTTGGCTATTTATCAGGTACGATGACTCCTTGCAACACTGTTAGAGGTACAGTCAAAGTCAAAGCTTTTCTAAATAAATGAGAAGTAAATAATTTGCTGCTACGGTTGAGCTAACACAGAAAAGAAGACAGGTTGCACACACTCAAATCAACATAACTGTTGCCTTTCTATTATTGTTGCATTCAGTGTTCAGTGTAAGGTAACGGGTGTGTTTCTCTCTTCTGCAGAAGCGGCTCACTTTTCCAGATAACTTCCCAGCTGCTATGTAGAGCTGCAGACGGCTGTCCTGTACTTGGTGTTTGCATCCCTTTCATCGTTTCAATGGGGAAAAGGAAAGACATGATTCACCCCAGGTTTCTTGGTGAGTGTTTGAGATTATTGGCTTTTAATGAATCATTTTGAAAGGCATAGTTATGGTTGTTTATACTGAACTGTACACTCAGTGATGACGCAGACATCTTAAAGGTTAAATCAGCTTCTTTAAGTGACTCACATTACATTATGGGACACAATGTGCAGTAGCATGAAAACAATACTTACACTACAGATGTAATACTGTACATCCATGTCTATAGGCAATCAATTTTTGCATTACTGTAGCACTACATTTGCACCTCAGTGGGGTTATATGAACATGAATAACCTGTTGATGAGGCTCATCCCGGTTGTGATATTCACATAGGGGATATGGTGTTTACATGAGCGCAGAGAAATTAGTTATTCATATTCCCAGTATACATCCTGATTTCTTTCAGAGTGCTCCAGCTGGCATATTTGGGTTTCTCATTAACGGAATATGGTACAATACAATATATACCTTGTGTCAGGATTAACTGCAGAACTCTCACCTCAAGATATCTGAATGAAAATGGGTTGTATGGGTACCCACCAGCCCTCCCTTTACAGACATGCTCATTTTATGCTAGTCCCATAAAGTTTTGGGTAAAATTAAATATTTCTGTGTACTGGGGTCTCTGAACAGTCTTGGCATAAATTGGGTATAACTGGAAAGCTGACACTCTTGGTAATTCAATGAGCCAAATTTTGTCAACATGTGATGATGTCAGTCTCTACAGCAGCCATTTTAGTGTAGTGAGACCTCTTCTTTAACAGACTTTACTGAATAAAATGCCCTATAGTGACCTCTAGGATGATCACAGCCTCATGAAACTTAACAGCCACAAACTAGAGACCTCAGGCATTCAGAGGATATTTGCCTTAAATAGGTTTATTGACAATAAGAGGGTTTCTCAGCGGTTTCCAATTGCCGGTAATTGTGGGTCTAACAAAAATCTCCAAATGTCAATAGTTTTTTTAATCCAAACCATAGCATTTTATTTTTCACGGACTTCCTCAAGGTTTTGGAGGCTTAATGTAGTGTTTTAGAGGGATTTCTGACCATGTTTATCAACCCTTGAGTGGTAAAAAGTGCATAAATGTAGCACCAAATCTGTGTAACAAATGGTATCCACTCAAATAATTGCCCAACAATTGGCCAATATGTCCTTCCATCATCATGTCCTAAGCCCCTATAGACTCTTAATGTTTGGTACATTTCTGACTAGAAAAACTTGACACACAGAGCTGAGGTGCACCTCAAATTAATCTTCAGGTTCCCAGATTTCAGATAATATGGAGCACTTTTACTTAACATATACAGTTGACCTGCTATCTGCCCCTTATGATCCCCTGCCTCTTCTAAAAAAAAGACAGAAATGAGTGCGTCTCTAAGAGTTAATGTATTTCATGCGGCTTAAGGAAAAACACAGGTCTTGTTTATTGTTTATTTTGCTGCAACTTGTACATTTGTTGTGAGCACTCTACCAAACATCAGCAGTAAAAGTGTTACTGGACTTATTTTGCTTCATATGAATCATGATTTAATAGTTCATGCATGTTTATCTATGTGTTGCTTCCCTGTCGTCCTCTGCAGGTGAAGGCGGCTCTAGCCTGCACAGCGTCCACAAGCGGAAACATAAAAAACACAAGAAGCACAAGAGGAAGCACCACAGCTTCACCGAGGCCCCGGAGCCGGAGCCCATCGTGGTTCCTCGGCCTCCTCCGCAGCTCCGGCTCAAGATCAAATTGGGAGGACAGACGCTGGGGACCAAGAGGTGAGTGAGGTGATGGTTGTTTGTGAAACATAGCGTCAGTGCTCAGTTTCGTGTGAAACCAGTCACTCAGTGAGTTTTTGTCCACCTGTTCAGTGTTCCCACTTTCACTGTGCATCCTGGTGTGGCCTGTCCTCCCTCTCCCTTGATGATTATTAATAATGTTGATGATGATGAGGACGATGATGATGAGGACGACGACGATGATGACGATGAGCCCTCTGTGCCTTTGGAACAGTATCGGGCCTGGCTGGGTAAGTTACAAGTACTCTGTGTTAAGATACTATAAACCTGGGGTGTGTTCCAGAGAGCTGGTTTAATGATAACTGAGTTATTTGATTAGCGTTAGCTGAGCTAGTTAATCCTGAGATGAGGAAAACTGTTCAGTTTTATTTAACCAGCCCTTCTTTCTGTCTCCTCCCCCTGACAGAGGCAGACATGTTTCATTTCCTTATTGATTCAGTCCACATCAAAGCACATTAGCGGAGGTTTACCTTAAGTCAGAATCTAAATCCTGATTATTAGTTTGTTCAGGACTGTCTTAAGTCACCACTTTTATGCTGTCAGCCATCTTTACACAGCGATTTTTGCACTCACATTCAAAATCACACAGCATCAAGTCCCCCTCAGCTCAGAATCAAACCTCTGCATGTCCTTTTTCAAACACAGAAAACAGCCGTCAGTTTGTATGTGTGATTTCATTTCATTTATTTTATTTATAAGCAACACACTTTAATCAACACAGCCAAGACAGTTTTCTGATGTTGATTGGACAATAAATTCATCTTGTGTGTTGTGTATCAGATGAAGACAGCAACCTGGCCACGTCCCCTATGCCAGACATGGACTCCGACTCCATGCTGGGCGGGCCTGTGGACGAGGAGGAGAGGTGGCTGGACGCTCTGGAGAAGGGAGAGCTGGACGACAACGGAGAGCTGAAGAAGGAGGTCGACGAGTCTCTGCTCACAGCCAGACAGGTGAGGAAGAGCGGAGGCAGCACATACATGTACTTCAGTCCCCCTGTTGATCAGAAATGTTTTCCAATCTGGTCCCTGTTTCCCATGTTTTTGTGTATTGGTGATGAATGGGTACAATAGTGTGAGTGATGACGTTGCTGCCTGACCAATTTCACACAAAAACATGGGAGAATAATGTCAACTTACCCTTTAATGTGACTAAAAACATGCATCCCTGAATGTATTTGTTTTGTTCACCTATAGAAAGCCCTGCTCCACAAGCAGCAGAGCCAGCCCCTCCTGGAGCTCCCCATGGGTTACAAGGAGAAAGAGATGACTGCAGAGATGATGCAGAAACGGGAGGAGCGCGCCCGAAAGCGACGCCTGCAGGCGGCCAAGAAGGCCGAGGAGAACAAGAACCAGACAATAGAGAGACTGACGAAAACCAGCAAGGCCAAGATCAAGAGCATGAGGGAGAGGAAGTCCAAGCAGAGTCAGTGTCCCATGGTCCGCTACAGCGACTCCGCCCAGGGCATGGCCATCTCCTTCCCCACAGGGGTCCCCGCTCCGACCCCGGCACCTCCCTGTCCTCCGCCGGCAGCCCAGGTGAGCTGCGGGGTCAGTGGGTGCACCAACCTCAAGAAGTACTCCTGCTCTAAGACCAGGGTTCCTCTGTGCAGCCTCGAGTGTTATAAGAGGAACCTGCTGCTTGTTCAGAGCACAGCGTGAACTTTAAAGGACCAGATACATTACACATGGACACAAATGAAGGTGTGTACAGTTCACGTGGTTATATCGGTGAAATCCGATGGCCACACAGACGTCGGAGGTGTCGTTTGAGCTTCACACTTGAACTGAACTGTTACAGGACTAAGAATGTGGATTTATTTTTTATTATCATCCCTTTTTTCGTAGCCGTGTCATATTAATAATGATGGTTTTCCCTGCTGTGACGCTGGTGACACAATTTAATTATGTACGTTATATCTGTGTACCACATGTACAATATTTATGATTTCCATTTGTGAAGGCTACTTAAGAGTAGAATTATTTCCACTCTGACTATTATTAATGTTCTCAATAATGAAAAATTATGATTAAAGACTGACAAAGGTTAATATTAAGCAAATTAGTTATGAAAGAATAAAAGATGAACTGTGTTGCTTCTTTAATTTCTTTTTTAAACAAATGTCCATACAAAACTGTACATATTAAATTAACAAATGCCTTTCTAACACTGCATACAAACTGTGTTTTTATTGGTCCAGTTAAGTAAACTTTACTTTAGCAAACTGTCCTGACGACTGCTCTCACTGGAAGGTCTTATCAGAGGTTTACACTTAAGTGTCTGAGGTATTCACTGAGAGGCTTTTCATCCACACAAACACACACATGAAGACAACAAGGCACAGAAATGATCTGGTCTGAACTCATTGCTCTTTGCTTATCACTGCTGTAAGGCCACAGTCACGCTCTGCTGTTATCTGCAGGAAAATCAGATGTGAAATGGAGGCACGTTGTTAGATTAAGACTCCACGCAGCCCCTGTTCAGTACCACGTTTGCTCTCAGGTGCTTTTAACCTGCACCACAGTTTTTCCTGAGAATGACACAGATGCTCCGATAGTTCAAATACTGCGTCACTGATCTAATACAAGAAAATGACACATCACAGGGCCAGGCCAAAGGAGAGTCTGAAGGCCATCTCCACAGGAACCTCTGCCACAGAGTCATGGAAACACACGTAGAACTCCTGAGGAACAGGCTCCAGCAACATCCGCCTGGAAGACAAAACAAATCAGACTGAGATACATGCCCTGCTCATGGAGCCACAGGTTCTACAGCTGGTGCAGAACTAAATCTCACTAGATGTGTACTTCCTTACTCCCCAATTATTCAGAACATGTAAGGCTTGTAGATAAAAATATTTAAAATGACGTACCCTATGACCCAGTAAGTCATGGTGGGAGCAGGTTTCCTCTGGTCGGTCCAATTCTCAGGTTTACACTGAAATAAGACCCCATGTTCCTTCACTGGACCCAGACCCCAACCACCGCCCTGAGGCCTGTCTGCAGCCCGACGGCCCTGCAGGAGAGGAAATCACATTAACAATTAGTTGAGTGGTTAAAAGCATTAATGTATAGAAGATTATTTTTCGTACATGGTGACAGAGAAGAGCTGAGATGACAACTTATAGTAAAACATTATGCTATGCAAAGTTTATGCAATTTTGAACGACATGCTATACAATGACTTTATTTTCATGATTTTGGGCGACATACTATACTATGACTTTTTTTTTTGATCATATTTTGAAAGACATACTATACTATGACTTTTTTTTATCATATTTTGAACGACATACTATGCTATGACTTTTTTTTATCATATTTTGAACGACATACTATACTATGACTTTTTTTATCATATTTTGAAC